TCCATTGTTAGTAAACCGAGATTTGTCAGTAAATAAAATGGTGAGGGGCAACTTTAGATTTAATATCCCTAGCACACCCTACTAAACCACCTAGACAAAGTAAAGTTCTACCAAAGGCAATTTTAACTTTTTTTCTAAGTTAAGCAGTTTTTGAAATATGTGATAATTAAAAAAGTGTTGATTGCTTGTCTTCAGGATATTTCAGGAACCGTCGGGTACCTAAATTTGACTTGTACAACGCACGGTTGGCCGACTGCTAAGTTCAACCCGAGTTCAGGTTCAGACTGAGTTCAGTTGATCCCAAGCTTAGCTTCCATTGTACAATCCGGCCTAAGTGCTAAAGGATTAATCCGGCAAAGTGCTGCGTTCCAAATTGCGAAATTTTCGCGCACATTCATAGCAACTTCCAGTCCAAATAAGACACCAAAAGCCTGAACAGGTGAAGGAATGTTGATAATTAGCGGGAGCCACAAAACCGTCCACACCGGCAATTATATAAAGCGTGCCTAAAACCATTGTGTGCAGGTGGCAGGGGCGCTTTTTAGATTACGGTCACATGCTCAGAAAACGTGCCATTTGTGGAAAATAAACTCCCGTTTTCCGACCATTCTTCGGAAGCGGCCTGGTATGATGCCGACGATTGATACATCTGTTTTGAATAAACTAGAAATCGTTTTCGGAACGTGTTTGGGTCGAAACACGCTTCCCAGTCGCATGCTGGATAATGGAACTGGATAAAGCGACAGGCAAATTGTTCATAACGGCCTCGTTCCACTATCCGAATGACGGCTTAAGAAGACCGGCAAATTCGCAACTTGGGGCTGCCCACTTTAACCTCACGTTTGCCACTAGAAGTCACGTTTGTTGCTCTTAATTAGCTGGAAATTATACTCGTTCGGTCCTCCTAAGAGAGAAGATGATCGATGTTTTTATTTTTCAACGTCTCGGATCGCCTAGGATTTTTCTTAAGCAATTTGCCTTACAGCTGGAGTACAGTAAAAGTGGACAAAATGACACATTCGCTTCAAACATAACGCTACCCGTTCTAAGATTCTGATCAACCTCATTAAACTAGTTAAAATTCAGTCTGAATATTTTACTATGCACCGGCACTGATTGACGCAAGCGGCGCTTAAAATTCAAAATATGAGGCCGACCTTAACATTGCGAAGTCCCAAGCCGAAGACGACGGCCTATAAAAAGCCACGCATCAATACGATAGACTATCAATTCTTCAAGTGAGATCAACCGCCCAACATGTTCAAACAGGTAAGTTTTGCTTCCAAAACCCCTTGAAAGTAGTAAATAAGAATTGATTGAATGTTCCAGATTGTATTCGTCGCCATCTTGGCTGTAGCCTTTGCTCTGCCCGCCCCTGAGGCCCAACCCGAACCTAAACCCGCTGCAAAGCCTGGACAGCTTCTCTACAGTTCGCCCCTTGTAGCAGCCGCCCCTATTGCCTACTCTGCAGCGTACAGCGCCCCACTGACCTACGCCGCCGCCCCTCTAGCCTACAGCGCCCACCCAGCCGTATCTGCCTACTCCTCCCCTTATGTCGCCTCAATTTGGTAATTTTCATGTGACGATACCAATTGATAATTAAACACATTCAATTGAACTTGCTGTTTTTGTCTGTGAGGGGATCGATTTTTTTGCGCACCCTGTATTTAGGAGGAAAAAAGTTGTACAGCTTTGCAACCAGTGAAAATCGCTGTAGTTGATTTTGGTAGCTTTTTTTAATTTTTGGTCAACCAATCACGGACATGTTGGGCTCAGATTGCCTGTATGTATGCCACGGTTGTCCCAAAAAAAAAATTAATTACGTTTGTTTTATGCGGCTCCTGCAGAATTAGTCGATAGACTAGTTGAAAAATGACACAACTAAATCAAGCAGGATAATTAATAAAACAGAAAATGTAAAAGTTCAACAATAAGGAAGCCAAGCAAACAATCCAGGAATCCTAAGGAAGCAAGAGAGCAAGAAAAGAACGTTAATCACTAAAAAGTAATTTAAATTACAAGGAATCGCTGGGTAAACGCAGTAAAACCGCAACCCAACACTTGCAGCCAAAAGATAGGGAAAAATTGTTAACTAGTTTTAGTAGCGTTTTAGAAAACACGTTTATTTAGCGAATAAGTCGCGAACCACAGATAGCAAGCTGAAGAACTACTACAGAGAAACACTAAAACGGAAGTGCCAAAAGTCTAGATGTAAAAAAATGGAAAATCGATAATAAATAAAGAAAGAGCAGAGCAACAAAAGCAGAAAAAAGTTGGACCAGAAATTATTTGGGGGAAAATTAACCTCAGATTGGAGCGTCTAAATGAGATAAAAGAGCAAATACGGACAGGAAAAGAAGAAGTCAAAGAAGACGCCGCTTTTTTCTTTATATATCAAGAACCGTTTGAGCTACAGCACTTATTTTTATACCACTGGATAGAGCAATGAAAACCCCCATTGGATAAGGTGAACGTCACTGGGATTTTTCCTCCGAAAGGGAAATTTTTGTATTAGAAATTGAGGCATACGATAAAGCCAGCGTTTCAAACATTACGCCACCTTTTTGTACATATCTTTAGCACGATTTCAGGTACAACCTTGGTTTTCTTGTAAATGCATACTTAAGAGTTCATTCAGCAAGTGAAACGTTAGTTGGAAAACAAAGGCAATTTTTGCTGCAGAAGCGCGGTTTACGAAAGAATTAGTCCATCGACTCAAACATTATGCCGCATTTTTGAAGTCCTGGTTTTCATGCCAATGGATAGACAACTAGTGATTTTCAGAACGTGCAGACTCAACTCTGTCCTCTGGACGATAAAAATTTCAATTTCTTACTTGCTGTGGGTTCAAAGTTATGGATTTTTTAAGAAAACGTGCGTTTGGACGAGAACGCTCATTTTCTGCATTAAATTTGCCAAGTCCGGAAATATCAGCAATTTTGAGCAATTTGAGTGATATTTTCGGAATGTGCATACTCAACTATCTACTCTGGACGATAAAAATTTCAAGCTGGTACTTGCTTTCGGTTCGCAGTTATGATTTTTTCAAAAGAACGCGTTTTTGGGCGCGATCGCTCATTTTCTGCACTAAATTTTCCAAGTCCATAAAATCATAATTTACAGCGATTTGAGTGAAATTTTCAGAACGTGTAGATAAATTAGGCTGTCTTCTACAGATTCTAAAAGTTTCAAGTTGCCACTTGCTTCCCATTCAAAGGTATGATTTTTTATAGAACTCGCATTTGTGCAAAAAGCTCATTTTCAGAACAAAATTTACCAATGCCAGAACAATGAGCGATTTTGAGCGATTTAAGTGATATTTCCAAAACTTGCACACTCGACTGTGTTCTCTGGACGATAAAAATTTGAAGTTCATACTTGCTTTCGGTTCGAAGTAATGATTTTTTCAAAAGAACTCGCATTTGAGCAATAACGCTCATTTTCAGCACAAAATTTGCCAAGTCCAAAAAGGTCGAAATTTTGGGCAATTTTAGTGAAATTTTCAGCACGTGCCAACTCAACTGTCTTCTCTCGGCTGTAAAAATTTCGAGTCGCTTCTTGCTTTCTTGTCGAAGTAATGATTTTTTCGAGAAAAGGCGCATTTGGGCGAAAACGCTCATTTTCACCACTAAATTTTCCACGTCCGGAAAAATCATAATATAAATTTCCAAAACGTGTAGACTGACGTGTTGACTTCTGTGGATTGTAAAAGTTTTAAGTTGCCAGTTGCTTCGCATTCAAAGTTATGTTTATATGAAGTCAAACATCTGCTAAATGCCGGATGTTTTTGGCAATTTAGGCAACATTTGTGTTTTACATGACACCACTGATTTGCTCATATATCAAGAATCATTTAAACTACAGCTCTCGTTTTCATACCCATGGACAGAGAACTGAAACCGCCATTTACAAACCCAAAATCACTTCAATACCAGGGCTGTGCACCTAAAAAGCAATATTTTAGCTACAAGATCAAACTTCTAGATAGTTTTGGTGCAAACCAACAAAACTCTCATTTGCGTGCTATTAGGCATCAGAAAAAGCGTTTCCACTCTGTTCCTCTTGGATTTCTGACTGATAATTGCTGGCCTCAACTAACTGAAGACACGACACTGATAATTATTACGCAATGAAAGGCATGAGCTCTTGAATATCAACCTACTAATTTATTCTACGCAAAGACACTGCGCGACCTCATTGATATTCAACTCGAACTGCTGTAGGTCACACGTACAGCCTCAGCCAGCTGCTGTTTGCAACCGATCGGCTGCACTCAGCTATAAAACATCAGCGCCACTCATGGGTCAGCATCAGATCAGTCTCATCGATCAGCCGCCTATCAACATGATGTCCAAACTGGTAAGTAGCGACTGTTTCCGGTAAGTCGAACTGTGAACTTTAGCGCTGTTTTTGGTTTCAGTTTGTCTTCTTCGCCCTATTGGCTGTAGCCTTCGCGAATGCCGCCCCAGAAGCCAAACCCGCAGCGAAACCTTCGCCACTGCTCGCTTACAGCTCCCCACTGGTTGCAGCCGCTCCAGTTGCCTACTCGTCCTACTACAGCGCCCCCCTGACCTACGCAGCCGCCCCTTTGGCCTACAGCGCCGCCTACCCGGCCTACTCTGCCTACTCTGCCTACGCCGCTCCTTATGTGGCTGTAGTTTAGAGTGAACTTGATTTTGGTATTAATAAACTTACTTTTGGCTACTTGGCTGTTGGATTTTCCTATGGTCTGTTTAAAACTGTAACGTATAGTGTGGGCAAAAAATATCCATGCAGAAATTATAATTCGCCTCAGAGTGTATTCGCAAATCAGTAACTAACGACCCAAAGATCTGCCTCAAAACCTCGCCGATATGCGTATTTCAAGTGTTTGTAAATCGTGACTGCTCAAAATTGGATTAAAATTAACCAAAAATGTCTATTTTTTTGGTACTGAAGCTTAGAGCATGTTTTTCAAGAAGCTCGCTAAATTCCTCGCTGCCTCTAGATGAATATGATATAAAATTCGAGACATTTTGGAAACTTTTAGTTTAAAAAAATCCACCGCCTAAAATGAGTGAAAAATTAACAAAAACGTGAGAAAATACAGAAAATATATCTCCACTTTAGCAACGATTTTTAAGATTCTCAATTTTCCAAACGGTTTTGCTATTTTTTTTATACCGAACTTTGTAATAATTGCAGCTGGCTTGTCACGATTTGTTCAAAAATTTTTCTGACCAAATTGAAAAAAGACAGATAGTTCTAGTTAACGCCATTAAATAAAAAATCAATTGCGCCGTTTGCTCAATAAATCTTCCGATCTTCCATATTTGATACCAATTTTTGGCGAATTTTCGAAAACTCGGTTCTACGATTTTCCGATCACTTCACCAGACAACTGAAAAAATTATCATATGAAATGGAAATTGAGTGAACAATTTATATAATCGTGATGAAATAGACAAAATATGTCTTTATTTTTGCAGCGATTTTTAGGTTTGGTAATTTCCAACGTAATTTGGTAATAATTGCAGCTTGCTTATCACGATTTGTTAAAAATTAATCAGATCAAATTGAAAAAAGGCAGATAGTTCATCAAATAGAAAAGAATTTCCGCCATTTGCTCAATAAATTGTCCGGTCTTCCATATTTAATACCAACTTTTGGCAAATTTTTGAAAACTCGCTTCTACGATTTTCCGATCTCTTCATGAGACAATTGAAAAAAATGTTCATTTGAAATGGAAAAGGAGTGAAAAAGTTATATACACGGGATAAAATATATAAAACATGTCTCTATTTTTGCAGAGAATTTAAACTTTCTCAATTTCCCAGACGATTTGGCAATTTTTTCGTACCGAACTTTGTAATAATTGCTTGTCACGATTTGTTCAAAAATTTCTCTGGCCAAATTGAAAAAAGGCAGATAGTTGGAGTGAACGTCGTTAAATAGAAAATAAACTGCACTTTGTACAGTCAATTTTCCGATCTCCCACAGTTGATATACATTTTTGGCGAATTCTTCAAACCTCGCCTCTGCGATTTTCTGATCACATCATGACACAATTTAAAAAATACATTATTCGAAATGGAAAATGAGTGAAAAATTTATATCAACGTCTTGAAATAGCTAAAATACGGCTCTAGATTTGCAGCGATTTTCAAGTTTATCAGTTCCAAAAAATTCAGCCAAACGATAAAAAATTTGGCAAACTTGTTAAAAATTAGTTTTTTGAGCTCAATTGATGATTTCCGTGCTTAAAAGCCAGCGATGTGCACATTTAAGGTGTTCGAGTCCATAATCCTATGATTTGAAGGCAACACAAGAAAAACCAGGAATATTCAATCAAATTCAATATTTATTTACAAAAAAAAATTTCAAAAGAAGCGCTCCAAACATTGATTTACATCCTCAAACTGTCCTGGATAGAATTTACAAAACGGCAACGTAAGGGGAAGAATAGGCGGAATAGGGAGCATAGGCTGGGTATGCGCTGTAGGCGAGAGGGGCGGCGGCGTAGGTCAAGGGGGCGCTGTAGGCTCCAGAATAGGCAAGAGGGGCGGCGGCTGCTACGAGGGGAGAACTGTAGAGAAGCTGTCCAGGCTTTGCAGCTGGTTTGGGCTCAGCTTTGGCCTCAGGGGCGGGCAGAGCGAAGGCTACAGCCAAGATGGCGACGAATACGAACTGAAACCAAACTTTAAGTCAAAGGAAATAATTTAAAAAACACTGTTGAACTTACCAATTTGAACATGGTGGCTTTGATGTGGTTGTATTGGTGGGACTGCTCAAATGCAACTGATAGCTTCTGGGATTTTCTTCGCGTATTTATAGTAAAAATGGCTCTAAGGTCGCGCAAGAAAATCGTGGGCCGCCATCCTGCATGCTAAGCGATTCTTGCGTGTAAGACGCGTTTTTTTCTTCGCAATTGTTCAGATTAATTTCGGTAGATTAGTCAAATACGTTGATAATTATGCTAATTTTGGACGGTGTTTTATGGCGACCAAGATTAATGGGTCCAGATACAAACCGGCTACTTCTTCGGGAATTGTGACAAACCGTGAATATGTTAATTTCAACTAGTTTATCGATTCAATCTTTTCAAGTGGCTAGTGAACATTTTTGAAATTTTTCAAAAACGTTTGCCTGGAAAGGCCACCAACAAAAACCACTTTTTTTCAAAAGACTCAAAGATTTTCAATCACTTCTGGGATTACAAACATTGGGCAGCATATTTCCTTCTCTTGTTTGCAACGTTTTTTTACATTTCCAGAAGAAGCAGGCGCAATGAAACAAAGACGCATTAAAAAAAGGCTGTCTCAGACCATTTACGCCTGCCGGATCTAGATTTTCGCGTATTGGCGGTGAAATATGGGCAAAACCGAATCCCATTGAAATCACAGCCTACACATTAATTGTGGCGATTTGCATCAGGAACCGATTTCATGCGCTCTCCTTGTACTGAAACAGACCAACAATCCAACCCTTAAGGCTAAGGAGAACGAGAAATCGTCCTCAAACCGGATACAAAAAACCAGAATTTCTAAATATAGGTGATGAAGTTACGCGAGACAAAAAACAGTCGCTGATTAATGGGCTCCAGCACCATCTTCATAGGCGCAAATTATGCAAAGAAATGTAATCTGGTATTTCGCCTAATTGATCTGCGAATCGAAGCAGCAGGAATTCATTAAAATTAATAAATTCGAATTTTATGCTAAACAAGCGGACGCGCTTGTTGTTATTATGACAACCATACAGGCATCCGACGTATGGAAGTGTCAATGCACTTAGGAATATGACAATGACTGAAAGTCAAAAATGTCATGCAGGTGTTTAAATGACATCTGTCAGAGCGTTCATCAACCGATCCGCTCCAGAACCGGTTTCGAACCTACTGGTTCTCTTCAGCTGCTGTAAAAACAGGCTTTTAGACGTCATTTGCAAATCTCCTGAAAATCTGTACTCTGAATAAGAATTTAGTGAATGGCACTCGCTCCAAATCCACATACGTAGTTACACTAGTGACATAACAGTCAACTGTTTCGCAATAGCAACAATAGAGCATCCCTTAATTGACGTGAAAGACTGATTATTACATCGGTTTTCAGCTTTCAGTGGCAGATGGACTGCCTCATTCCTGATTAGTTAATTATTCGATCATTGGACATTTGGTTTAAAGTAGAGCTCGGAATTTTTAAAAATCTGATATTCGAATACTTGTGCTTGTAAATATATGGGTATTTGTTTAAATTCTTGTAGAATATGAATAATTTATTTTATAAAAGTATACAAAGTGCATATAAAGATATTTACACCTTGTGAGTTTGATAATGTTGGTATTCGAGTATTCGATTATTCGACTATTCGAGTATTCGAATATTCGGATATTCGAATATTCGGATATTCGAATATTCGAGTATTCGATTATTCGAATATTCGAGTTATGACTACACATAATTATTCGCTTTTCGAATACTCGAATTATTCGAGTTTGATTCCGAGCCCTAGTTTAAAGTCCAGTTCGCGTAAAGTGCGCCTAAAAGAATAGAATTTTAACAGAAATCCGAAAATTATTGCCAAATGCCTTAATTAAATATTCAGCGACTGTCCGCAGCCTTCGACGCTCTAAACACAGTAAAATGGGCTACACCATCATTAGAATGCTGATTAATTTAATTGCATTTAGTCCATGTAAAGGCCATTTTACCACCTAGGCTCTGCTATTGTTATTGAGCATTGTTTTTAATTAGTTTACAGATCCAGTGTAGGTATAAATACGCTCTGGGCCACTCATTAGCCATCAGTTATCCGCTATAACGCTTTATAGTAACTTAATCTGAGTTTCCACCCGTTCCCGATAAACATGTACAAACTGGTAAGTAGGCCGCCTTCGATCTATGGACCCTTTACTCATCGATTATTTATTGATTTTAGGTTGTTTTCGTTGCCTGCTTGGTTCTGGCCACAGCCACCCCTGTGCCCCAGCCCAAGGCCAAGCCCCAGTACATTGTTGACCCTTATGTAGGCGCCGTGGCTCCTGTAGCGTACAGCGCCCCTCTCGCCTACTCCGACTACGTTCTACCCTCCGTCTACGCCGCTGGTTACGGGTACTCGCCCTACGTCGCTTCTGCCCCTGTAGTGGTTTATTAAAATGTTTTTTGTAAATAAATAATCTGACGATATTTTGGAATTTTTTGTTCGAAAACTGCACAAACGTTCGCTAAAAACTGTTGGTTTTCGGGTGTGCAGAAATTTGGTCCAGACGTTTCGCTTGTATGCAAGCGTGGTCAATATCTGCAGAATATCAGAGTGTATTCTCCAATCTTGCGCATTTGAGATAATTTTATTGCAAATTTTTTAAAACTTTCTTATGCAATTTTCCGCTCACATTGTGCCCCAGCTGAAAAATAATATCGTTTGAATATGAGTGAAAAATTAAGAAAAACGCGATTAAATAGACAAATGATGTCGGTATTTTTGCAGCGATTTTTAAGTTTCTGAATTTCCCTGGCGATTTTGCGATTTTTTTATACCGAACTTTCTAATAATTGCAGCTAGTTTGTCACGATTTGTTCAAAAACTTTTCAGCCCAAATCGAAAAAACGCAGACAATTGTAGTTAACGGTATCAAATAGAAAGCAGATTGTGCTGTTTGCTCCATAAATTTTCCGGTCTCCCACATTTGATACCAATTTTTGGCGAATTGTTCAAAACCCGCCTCTTCGATTTTCCTATTGCATCACGAGACAATTAAGAAAAATTATCATTCGAAATGTAAAATAAGTAAAAATTGGATCTGGTTTTGAAGCGAATTTCAAGTTTCTCAATCTCAAACTCGATTTTTGGGAACCTTTGAAATAAGTGCAGCTTTTTGCACAATTTCAACATCATGACACAATTTATCCAATTTGTAACCCAGGCAAGACACTGGAGTCTGCACGTTATGTAAACTCCACGCAGATCGCAAAAAATATCGGATTTTTTGGGACTTCGTGCACTGAAAATTACGGTTATTGCACTACTGCTTGTTCTTTTAAAAAAATCATCACTTCGAATAAAAAGCAAAAAGAAACTTGAACATTTTATAGTCTACAGAATACGATTAAGACTGCAGTTTCACTAAAATCGCAAACATTTCTGATTTTCACGATCTTGGAAAATTTTGTGTTGAAAATGAGCGTCATCGCCCAAATGCGCGATCTCTTGAAAAAATCGTAACTTCGAACCTAAAAGAGGTAAGAACTTCAAATTTCCATAATCCAGAGAAAACAATTCAGCCTGCACGTTCTGAAAATTTCATTCAAATCGCGAACAATTTCTGGTTTTCCCGGATTTAGCAAATTTTGTGCTGAAATCGAACGTTCTCGGTCAAATGCGCGTTCTTTTGAAAATTTTATAAATTCTCATGCGAAGCAAGAGGCTACTTGAAAATTTTATGGTCCACAGAAAACAGTTCGGACTACACGATCTCAACATTTTACTCACATGGCGGAAAGTTGTGATTTTTTCAGACTTGGAAAACTTAGTGCAAAAAATTAGCACTCTAGCCCAAATGAGCAATATCTTGAAATATTTATAACTTGGAACCTAAAACAGGTAAAAACTTTAAATTTATATCGTCTAGAGAAGAGAGTTGAGTCTGCATGTTCTGAAAATTTCACTCAGATCGCGCAAAATACTAATTTTTCCAAACTTGGTAAATTTTGTGCTGACATCAAGCGTTCACGGCCAAATGCGCGTTCTCTTGAAAAATTCATAACTTCTCATGCGAAGCAAGTGGCTACTTGAAAACTTTAAAGTCCACAGAAAACAGTTCGGTCTACACGGTCTGAAAATTCCACTCACATGGCGAAAAATTGTGATTTTTTCAGACTTGGAAAACTTAGTGCAGAAAATTAGCGCTCTCGCCCAAATGCGCAATATCTTAAAAAATGTATAACTTGGAACGTAAAACAGGTAAAACATTAAATTTATAGCGACCAGAGAAGAGATTTGAGTCTGCATGTTCTGAAAATTTCACTCGAATCGAGCAAAATACTAATTTTTCCGGACTTGGCAAATTTTGTGCTGAAATCGAGCGTTCTCGGCTAAATGCTAGTTTTCTTTAAAAAATCATAACTTCGAATGCGAAGCAAGTGCCTACTGGAAAATTTTAAGGTCCACAGAAAACAGTTCAGTCTACACGGTCTGAAAATTTCACTTACATGGCGGAAGATCGTGATTTTTTCAGGCTTGGAAAATTTAGTACAGAAAATTAGCGTTCTCGTCTAAATGCGCGATCTCTTGAAAAATTCATAACTTGGAACCTGAATCTGGTAAGAACTTTAAATGTTTTTTTTTATATTAATAGCTGTCGATCTAAGGCAATTAGAGCCGTTAGCACGCCGAAACATCACTGGTGCCAAGTCCCTAAAGGTGAAAACCACCTGGGAAACACAGCGCAGATAAACCGGAAATTGTTTTGAAGTCAGTTTTAAAAGGCTGGCGCCATCTGTTACATTAAACGTGGACCTCCACACTAAATTAACTAGTAGAATTTCGTTCGCGATATTGTTTAGAAGAATCCCGGTGAATGAACGCTGGCATTAAACGCAGTTTCTGATCGGACTTCTTAATTTTTTTTCAGAACTTTTCGAGCTCTACTTTCAACTCTTTTAAGGTCATCAAATCGCAATCGCTCTTTCTAAAATCGGTTATGAAAACGTCGGACAAAAATTATATTTCACAACACTCTAAGAGCCAGAAAACCTCATCCAAGTCTTGACTTCTAAACCAGACACTGTTTGAAACTGGCTAGTAAGTTGTTCTTAACGTTTCGCCACACGAATCCCTTGCATCTTCAGAGCTGGTTTTCTTAGCGCAGCACCACTCTGAAAATACTAGCCATTTGTGCTCACGAAACGTAAAAAATACCTCTTTAGACCAGATAATGATTGACTGGTAAATAATTAATCGAAGCAGGGGCCGCGCCCACCAAATTGATATTCCCCAGCCAACTCGAAGCTCGAATGCGACTGAAATAACCAAAAAAGTCAGCGCGCATTTCCCAATGGTTCAAATCGAAAGAAAAAACAAACGACACCAATCTATGATTCTATGCCACGCCATCCATAAGTACCGCATACTAAGCAGGGCATCTTCAATTATCCACACTTTATTACTAAATGATCTGTCCTAGAACTAAAAATTGTTGGCATTTTAACTGTTTGGCTTTTTGCATGTCAAAGTGGGGCCGTTGATCGGTATATAAAATGTGCAGCGATCTCCTAGTGCATTATCAGCGATCCGTCCACTCGAAAACCTACAAGATGTTCCATATTGTAAGTACTTTTGGTGGTTTTGGACCAAACCAGCCACTTCTGTCCCTATTTTTCCAGGTTGCATTCTGGGCCTTTGCAGCCTGCCAACTCTTCGCCGCCAATGGTCAGGTGGCTGTTCCTGTAGCCGCTCCTGTTGTCACCGCACGTAGCAGCCAATACTTCGCTCAAACTCACAGCGCTCTCGCCGCCCCATTGGTCCAACCAGTCGCTCCAGTAGCGCAATACTTCGCTCCTTCCGCTGCTTCTGTTAGCCAAGTGACTCGCTATGCTCAATATCTGGCTGCTCCCTACCTCCTGCCAGCTCCTCTTCTAGCCAGTCCTGCAGTGGCGCCTCTGGTGGCCACCAGCCCCGTGGCAGCCCCCGCACCAGCCCCTCAACAGCCCCCCAACAATCCGGACGCTGAAGCGGTGGAAGTGGAGTCTGCTCGGCTCAGAGCCGCTCCCGCTCAGCAAGCAGGCAAAGCCCAGCCGCTTAGGGCTCAGAAACAACAGGTTCCTCAAGCTGCGGCTCCGAAACAGCAGCAGTCGGCCGCTCCAGGCCTGCTGAGTGCTCAGCAGTTCCTACAAGGGCCGTACTTGGGCTGAAGCTCGTTCCATCAAATGCCGCGCTTGTCTTGTGTAGATTTTTGTACATAAATATATGTTTCCTGTGTAACTGAATTAGTGGTTTCTGTCATCCAGCTGAAGATATCCTTCATTAATTTGAGAAGCCAATAGGCAAGGGATAAAAGTGATTTTTAAGCTTCTGTTCAACTTCGGCACACTTAAATACGAGCGAAAATTGCAAATTAGTTGTCACAAACTTGACAAAAGACCGAATCTGCGGTATTCGATTCTCTATTATTGACTCCGATGATTGTGTCGCATTTATTAATTCACCCCGGTAGCCCAATTGGAGCTTCGAGTGTGTTCGGATAATTTCGTTGCTATGGGGAGCAGCAAAATTAGCTGCACGCTCAGGTCGAAAATCTACCTCTCCTGATCACGTTCCACCCACATACGAGGGACGTACTCAAAATTGGCTGTCTTTGAATAAACCCAGTGGAATCTGGAAAATCCTCCGTAAAACGTTCTAAACTAAACTGCTCTAAGATCTATCGATATATTTTATCTATTATCTATCGATAAATTTTATTGACACTAAAAGTTTGAATTTTCCCGAAACTATGGGACTTCACTCTTGATAGGACGTAATGACGTCATTGATCCTATACTAAAAACTATTTTATTTTCGAAAAATAAAATAATTTTGTGCTGTTTTGGATCAGTAAGGCCCCCTATCTCAAAATTTGACCGAAATTGGACATTGCAAAATTAGGGAATAWTGCGAAMATTTTTCCCAAAAAAATRTGSATGATTTTAGAAARCCGTCAATTGCTCGCTTATTATGGAYSGTAGCGAAAAAGTGAACACCAACTTTTTTATGGAGCTTGAGACGATCGATCGACTGGAGTGCTGARATTTATCCATRCCCCTATGGTTATCGCGAGATTTGCAGTTATTTTAAARCCATATTTTCGCGATTTTTTCGAATCAACTGTAAAAGTTGRAAAAATGYTCTTGGATAGTGCTCGATTAACGCGAGATTTGTTAAAAGGATATAACTTTTTTCAATAGGAAGCTTAGTTCTCGAAAAAACAAATAAAATGTAAAATTTAACCSACCAAAAWATTTWGCAAAAAAAAAAWAWTTTTTWGTCGAAGTATTCCTTCCGAAGTAGTTGGTTATTTATTTAATATGGAAAAGTTACATAATAAATCGACTGKTTCTTGGTTCAATATAAAATTTCTCTGTGAGCTACAGGGRAAAGACGAAAAAGTTTGTACAGTCGCTTATGGWGGRGAAATTTTCAAAATTGARTAAAAGTGTCAAATGACATTGGAATTGGTTGAACCTCACATCAATTGAAATTGAGGCAACAAATRCGAATCAACTCCAAATCGATTAGAAAAAGTGGAAGCAAAAAAACTTMATTTATCTCCATGTAATCGGTAAATTTTGGAATCGATSAACTGAAATAGTGTAGTTAGATTGARACACAGCCARTAGATTTGGTCAATKATTTGTGAATGCCATAATGAAAAACTATAATTTTCCGATTTCAGTCAGACGAATTTATCGAAAAAATGTTCCAGAACTTTTGACTTTTCCATGTTTTATGCAAACAAAAATTGTAACAAAACTGTGAGTGATTATTGTGAGTGAAAAATTACTTAACTAGAAAAAATCTTAAACAGAAAGAAAATCGCCGGCATGAGTCAGTTTTTATCCAATTCGGGGCAAATTTGGTCGTGTAACGTTTAGTTTGCTGAACACTAGGTCTATTTAAACACATAAATTTTGAATACGTCCCTCGTATTTAGGGGGTCGTGATCAGGAGAGGTAGCTTTTCGACCTGAGCGTGCAGCTAATCGTGTTCGTCCCCATAGCAACGAAATCATCCGAACACACTCGAAACTCCAATCGGGCTACCGGGGTTAATTAATAAATGTGGGGCAATCATCGGAGACAATAACGGAGAATCGAATACGGCAGATTGTGAAAAAAAGAACCAAACTGAGTTTGAAAAGAAATCCTTTGGCCCTTGTCAAGTTTCCCACGACAAAAGTGCAATTGTCGCTCGTATTTAAGTGTGCCGAAGCTGAACAGAAGCTAAAAAGCCATTTTGATCCTTTGCTTATTGGCTTCTGAAATGAATGGAGGATATCTTGAACCGATAAACTGAGCTAACAGTTTCTGATGCGTCGCTCGGGAAATGATGCTGAATGACCCTTTTTAAAGTCTATGGAGACTTTTTGTACATAACACACACTGAATGTAAACTCAATGTTTTAATTGAACTTTAATTGATGTTTTGCTAAACACGCTTCAAATTCCATCGCACATTTCGACAGTGTCGTCACGAACTATTGGCTGGTAGACGCAATGGGCGACCAATGGCATACTAATGAGCCAAATGTCTGCAATCAGTCTATTAGTCCCCTTGGGGAAATTTCAAAAGCGACCCGAAAGTTGTCAACGGGGTGGGGACGTCACGATTTCCCTATAAATGGCTTCCGATGAACCGAATCAATCATTCTACATCCAGCAGTTTAGTGATCTACCCGCCTAAAACACTCCAGCAGCATAATGTTCAAGTTCGTAAGTAGCTCTAATTTCTTTGGTAAATTTTGCCTCTAATAGCGGGTTGGTTTGCAGGTCGCCCTCCTAGTCCTGGTGGCAGTGGCATGCGTGGCAGCCGCCCCTAAACCCTCCGTCCCTGTGCTGGCTCCGGCTATAGTGACCGCCCAAAGTTCCCAGGTGATCGCCCGCAACTACAACGCTTTGGCCGCACCTCTAATCGCTCCAGCACCAATTGTACGGGCGGCTCCTGTTCTCGCTCCAGCTCCTGTTGTTCGGGCGGCGCCCTTTGCTGCTCCCTACTGGGCCGCCCCTGCTCCATATCTAGCCAACCCTTACGCCGCACCCTTGATCTACTAGGATGGCACGTAGTGAATTTTAATGTGATTGTAAATAGGGATTTTTGTAAATAGATCGGGTATATACTGATTAAGAGCTACCATCTGCGGCTGTTACAATCCCCCAAAACGCTTGCAGGAACCTCGAGTTGGTTAATCGGCCAAGTTTTTAATTACCACACTGTTAACAAACCTGTGACTGATGGCACGAAAGACATGCAAGCATTGGCGCGATTCGTGTGTTTCACTTTGGGCCATTGCAACATCAGCTAAAGCACGCAAACCCGCAAAAGGCCGTATAAAAGCGGTGCAAACCACCCTATCTTCAGTGGTACTTGGAACAATCGAGCAACGATGTATTGGTCAGTTTACTGGGCGCTGTTATTCGCCTTGCTCACCTGCAGCTGTGCGCTTCCGGGTTATCGAAGTGGCGGCGGAAGAGGCGGAGGCGGTGGCGGTGGAGGCAGAGGAGGAGGAGGAGGTGGCGGATTCCACTTGGTTCCTGTTATTACCAAGCAAATCGTGCCAGTGGTGCAGTTCAGGCAGGTCTACAGCGGATCTGGATCTGGATTGGGAGGTGGCTTTGGGGGCTTTGGAGGCTTTGGAGGCCATGGAGGCCATGGAGGAGGCTACCACTAAAAATGTTTTTCAATAAACCGAAAGTCTAGTTGCTTTTTATACCTTCTCTAGCACTGTGCAACATCAGGCGATAATAGTTAAGTGTTTATTCAAACTAAATGTAAGTAGCGTTACGAGCCTATCACGGCACCGTTATGAGACTTGCTCCAGTTTGTTCCATTGATTATCGCCCCGCATCAGAACAATTTCGGTCACATCAGCGGAAAGAGCACAGTTTCAGGTGCTAATTGACCGCAAAATATGGACAACCGCATTACTCGGCGTCCAATCAGCAAGATGATCACTTTGAGGATCCAATTGGCGGCTAGTGTCTTCTGTGCGATAGTGTTTCTGTTCATTGACAGTACTCAAAGCGGGTCGCAGCTGGTTTTACTGGAAAATCGCACTAGTGTTTTAAATCGCACCGGGCGACAGTTTGTGTGTAAGTATGGGGGTAGTTCGGTTGAATCGGTCGACTGAACACCCTGTTGATTGTAGGGCTGCCGTTTTTTTGGGGCGTCGGCTTGGTGCGCTTTGAAAACGGAGAATGTGATGCCGGGAACGGATTTACCGGCACCTGCTACACTCGCAGGGAGTGCAACTATCTGGATGGAGTTCGTGCAAGTTTATGCGCTAATAAAGCGGGCGCGTGCTGCGTGTGTAAGTATCCGAAGAACACAGAACTTCTGGAGGTAGAAAATCGCTTTTTGGGTTCCCTTGTGCATCCACTATCGTGTGTCCAAGACAAGGATGCATTGCATGAGAATATCCGAAATCGTAACAGATACGAAGTCGGTTAAATTAGCAAAAAGTTGCGCCATCAGAATGCCATATGGACAAAATATGTCTATTATTGCAGCGATTTTTAAGTTTCTCAATTTCCCACGCTCATTTGGGATTAATTTTCGGAAATTTGATAGCGCAGATAGTTGTAGTAAACGCCATTAAATAGATCAGAGGTTGCGCTGTTTCCCCAGTAAATTTTTCGATCTCCCACAGAAGCTGCAAGTTCGCACTCCCCTTGAAACCAATTTTTGGCGAATTTTTAGCAATTTAAAAATATTATGATTCTCTTAAAAAATTCATAACTTTGAAGAAAAAGCAAGAAGCAACTTGAAAATTTTACAGTTCACAGAAGACGTCTGTAGTGCAGTTTCTGAAAATTTCACTCAAATGGCGAGAGTTTCAGATTTTGTTGGTAACGGAGTTGGTAAAGTTTGTGTTAAAAATTGGCGTTCTCGCCCTTCTAATGCAAAGCAAATGGCTACTTGAAATAGGCATAAGTTATAGAAAAATACTTTTCTGACCGGTACAAATCGTACTGTATTATACATCGTTAAATTCTCAATTAAAAAGGCTACCTAATCCGTTATGTACATCTTATTTTCGGTCCATATGAGAAGCAAAAGTTGATTATGGTTTCTAAGGAACGAAAAGTTAATAAAATATCTCTAAAATTAATTTTATTTATTTTATTTTTTTCCCTAATCTAACCGACCTCACATCTCTTACGGTTCCGGTGATTCTCATGCAATTCATGATCCTTGGACCCTGTATGCAAATTGGATATCTTAGTAGCTCAGGCCATGAGTATATAAATCCATTAAAACATTAACAACTAGCCTAGCATTTATGAATCCGCCCTCGTAAATCGGGAAAGTGCGACAAGGCCACAAATTTCCGATATATTGTATTGTAAAAGCGATGCATGTTGCTACAAATGTGGAGGTACACATGAACCCAATCATTGAACAACACAAATTCTAGATTGTCCAAATTGTAAGCGCTTGAGACCTAATGACATAATTCACTCTGCAAGAGATCAAAAATGTCCGGCTTTTCTGCAAAAGATGAAGAAACAGCGCGAGTACATTAATTTTAACAACACCCAAGAACAAAAAACTTTTTTTGCGACTCAATAGAACAGCCTAACCGAGATAATACCAATGCTCCGACGAAATTAACAAGATTCAGTATCATACATCAAAATGTCCAGTCTCTAGGAAACTGTGTGGATACTATTAATCACATGCTAGATGAAAATAAATATTGCAAATGTGTCTGCATTACCGAACATTGGAAAAAAGAAGAACACCTAAAACGCTTGGTATTCATAATTTTACGCTTGCATCCAGCTATTGCAGAAAAAAAGGATATGGAGGAGCTGCAATACCTAGACAAAAACCAAAAATTTACCCAGCGAACAAAAATCAATAAGCTATCAGTAGAGGGCGTCTTTGAATGTATATGTATAGAAAGTAAATTTCGAGAAGAGTCTTTTATCGTGATGACAATATACAAGCCACCAAAAGGAGACATAAACATATTTCTTAAAAAAATAGAATTCGCACTTACCCTAATTGCGAATGAAAATAAAAATATTGTCATTGCGAGTGATTTTAATATAGAACTTTTGGAATGTAATGATTACAGGACGCAATTTTTATCTGCGATGGGCTCTTTTAATCTGTATTAAACAATAGATCAAAATACAAGAATAACATCAACATCTAATAGCTGTATAGACAATATATTTTCAAATGTTCCGAAATGCAGGGTCTCGAGTCATATTCTAAATACAGTCATCTCGGATCACACTGCACAAAAAATAGTATTAGAGTGTAGAATTCCCGTAAAGCCGACAAAGCAATGCTACTTCAAGAGATTTTTCAGTGAGGACAACATTAAAAAAGTAAGAATTGAAAAATTGTTTCAGAATAAATTAAAACAGATGTTAATTGAGTTAGAGCCTTATAGTATTAGAGACTATTTAAATATGTAACAACAGTACCTTTTAGTATAATATGTCCTCTGTCAGTTGTTTTTTAACGCCATTTCATTTCGTATTCTTTATACATGTGCATGTATCAGAATGTAATTTGAAATAAAGAAATAAATAAAAATAAAATAAATAATATTGCTCTCACTCTTGATCACGGGAAGAGTTCCATGTAAATTTTTGGTTGTACTACGGGGTGCATTCAATCTGTATGAAGTTTCCGATTTAGTTGCGAGCAAACTGCTTAATGGATTACGTTGAAATTGACCCATCAATGACAGTCATGCTTGCTTTAAAAGCTGTTGAATTGAGCATTTTCATAACTCGCTTAATCACTGAGAAATGGCACATTGAACACGGGGATGGAAAAATAAAAAAGGTCCAAAATTTGCTATTTAATTGACTCAAAAGAATTTGAAATGACGAGCCTAATAGCCTGATTATTGAGGAATGGTCTTTTGGAGACTGTAGTGCGAAGATGGGGCACAGTAAAAGTGTCTAAAGTACGCAGCAACCTAGAAAACGCATTTAGTTTGAAACTCAAAGAAAAATAAAATTAAAGCTTCTCTTAAAGGATCTGGAAGATTCACCAGAATTCCCGTTTGATGATTGAGAAGTTCTTAAATGGCATAAAAATTAAGTTGAAAGCGACACGGAAAAAAATTACGAACCTGTAGATTGATCAGTTTCAAAGTGGCAACCACTTGGTTCCGCATATGCAGGAAGAGCGCCTGTTTGAACAAAGCAAGGGATTTTCGCTCGATTTGAACTCGAAATGCTTGAAAATTATCAGGAAACTACCGACATCACTGACGGTAGCTCAACTCAATATTAATTAAGTTGACAACTTGATGTTGCTATGGTTCAATGTGTAAGGGCCCTTGTGATTGTTGCCAGACTTTAGCAAAGTACCATGGTCTGATGTTAAATGGAAAGGGCAATTTTTTTTAATTTGCAGTCCAACGCACTTGCGGAGACAGCTCCGATCTGAACAACACCTACTTTGTCAGCCCCGGGTTCCCCACCACGTACACGGGGGGTACTGCATGCTCTTTCACCATAGTTAAGCAGGACGACGCTTGCCAGGTGGGTGGAGTCAGCCCTGTGGAGTGTAGAAGTTTGGTTGAAAACAGCCTTTTCCAGGTTCGCCTGGACTTTCTGACGCTGAACCTGGCGCAGCCCAACATTAACGGAACCTGCACAACAGACGCGCTGACCGTTACAGGAGGAGCGTCAGTGGCGCCGGTTCTTTGCGGCGAAAACAGCGGCCAGCACATGTACATGGATTTCAACGGGAACCAGTCGATTACCATTACGATTTATGTGCGAAGCAGCAGCGCTTCCCGTAGCTGGAACATCAAGGTGGCGCAGATTAACTGCAATTGTCCCTGGCGAGGTACCAATCGAAGCCAACTGTGGAATCTGTGGTGAAAGTTTTGTTGTAGCTCCATCTGGATGTTTGCAGTTCTACAATCAACTGTCTGGAACAGTGCGCAGTTTCAACTATGGTAGTTCCAGTGTGCTGAATGGAACTCGGCAGCTGGCCGGGATGAACTATGGGGTTTGCGTCAATATGTTCCCTGGTACCCAAAGCAACGTCATCAAGCAATGAAAGGATTTGCTATGAAGCACTTTCAGGGTACTGCTCCATTGAGTGGTCAGCCACCTCCGATCTCTACGGATTCTCGTTGACTGGCAACACTTTCACGGCAGTGGGGGATGGTACCTTGGGAACCACCGCCGCCTCCCTGACGGGAGTGAACTGCACCACTGACTTTGTGGTGATTCCAGCTCCGATTTTGACCTCGAACAGCAGCTACTTGAACACGGACCGGTTCTGCGGAAATGGGTTCCCTTCGGTGATATGTAAGGGCGTCGGCCACTTGACTAGGACAATTCGTGCAGGTTTCCACTGTTTTAGCGTATTCCAAGCCCTTTGTGCTGACGGTGGTGACCAACGGGAACGAAGTGAACGACACGGGAAATCGGGGATTTTCGCTATCTTTCACTCAGGAATTGTGCTCGGGCGCCTTGATACTAGGAAAACGATAAGAGCCAAATAAACGTTTCAGTACGTACTGCTTGAGTTTCATCTTGGGGGTAATACAGGGTGTCCAGGATAAGAATGCATTGCATAGGATCTCTCTCATAAAACTCTCGAAAAGGACATTTTCGCAATAAGACCTTTATTTATATAAATTAGTGCAGGAGCCATAGTAGGGCAGTTTTGGACGGAATACGACTGGTTTTCAACCCCGCTCATCCATAAAGCTTTTCCAGAATGGTGGTCGGAGCGTCAGCACTGTATTTGGAGATTTGCCTCAAAAGCGCAAACTTCTTCATAATCCCCTTTTTGGAGGACTGCAGATCGTACAGGCTGCACAAGTTCAACACCAACGACTCGTGCAGATTCTCCAGCGGTTTTGAAGAGATTGCAGTTTCCAGCACGGAAATCGCTTCCTGCATGCGACCATCATGCAGCATGCAAACCGCCCAGTTGTTCAGAATCTGCATTAACAAAACCGAACGATAACACAGACTATGAAGGCTTTTACGGCCGGTTAAATCACATTTAGGAAAGTTTTCCGGGCTTTGAAGCCGTGGTCTATGGGAATTTCTTCCTGACGTTTCGTCCACAACTGCGGTGGACATTATCAAAGGCGATGAGGCAGTGGGCGAAGTGATGTCCCGTGCTTTCCGACTAAGACTGGTTCAACTTACTTATGAACATATTTATTTTCAGCTAAGTTTACAACTTCCTACTGCTACTTATCTACGGCTTCTTAATCTAACATCGTTGACTGGTTCAACTGCTGGATTCCGTCGTATTTATGCAGCCCAGCCGTGTGTGCTCATGCGTGGGGAATGGGTGGGGTTCAAATGCTTCGGCGCACACGCTGTTTGGCGCAAAACGCGCTTCCAATCTGGATTGAGTGCCGTAATTTCTTGTTTTCTGTTAAAGTTGCTTTGGTGTTTAAAGCACGTTTGAACCCCCACCCATCCTCCACGCATGAGCACACACGGCTGGGCTGCATAAATACGACGGGGAATCCAGCAGTTGAACCAGTTTTAGTCGGAAAGCATGGGAGATCACTTCGCCCACAGCCTCATCGCCTTTAATAATGTCCACCGCAGTTGTGGACGAAACGTCAAGAAGAAATTCCCATAGACCACGGCTTCAAAGCCCGGAAAACTTTCCTAAATGTGATAACACAGACGTAAAACATTAAAAACTTTGATCAGCGATCGCTGTCAGACTAGGCATAGCTACCATGAGGTTCGAGGGGTCCAAGGAGCTGGCCTGCTGGAAGCAAGCGCAAGCTTCCTCAAAGTTACCCTGGGCGGTAGCAAACAGCCCCCGATCCACTAGCTCGCGCACGCCACTGGACCCGAACAGATACGCTTCATTGAAGCAGATTTCAGCTCCTGCAACAGTCGGGCATCTTCGAAGAACTGAAGCAGCTTCAGGAGGAACAAACCTGCAATGTTTCCGGTCTGCAAGTTGAGCCGCCCTAAAGCCGAGAGCAACATGTGCTTGGGAGTGTCTTCACTGCAACAACGCTCAAGTATTAATGCGCCCGCAAATTGCGTCTTCAGGCATACGAACCGTTCGATTAGTTGCGCCAACAGTTCCATGGCCAGGCCATAATCCTTCACGTAGCAGGCGCAGTTGATGATGGAGTAGATCACTTTGGCTTCTCTGCTTCGCCAGAGCTTCAACGACTCCGCTCTGTCCGTTTCTTCCAGTTCAGTGGCGCTGCCATCTTCACATACGCCTTAGAACATACCTTCAAGCTCAGATGTTGTCGCATTGAACTCATTGGTACCTTGCTTGAGGTTGTTGAGCATTCGCTTGATGGCCGCCCACATGCAGAACAACCGTCGCAATGCGTCTTTGGGCTTCCCCGCGTGCATCGGGAGCTCAGCGAGCAACAGCCGGAAACTGAACGAAGCCATCGATCCAGTCCTGCCCCCGTACATTTCGGGATAATACTGAAAAAGCGTCACTCTCAGGGGCTTCTGAGCAAATCGCCGCACTACCTGATAGAAAATGTCCGGCTTCTCCAACTGGCTGAATGGTTGAGCTTCCGCTTGAGCAACAGCAAGTGACTTGGTCTTGACCAGCAGCGCAATTCTGATATACCAGAGCTGGAGGCTTTGGGGCGTGTGGATTGTCGGGTGGCCTGCATTAAGGTTTTATACTGGGTGGTTGAAACAGAGGGTTGTTCTCTATAGGGGGCATAGTTGGAAGGTCCGTGAGTAAAAAGTGTCAACTGATTTGATGCTCATTCGTTAATCAAACGTCAGTGTCTGAGTTCAACGGTTGATGCGGGTTTTACAAATTTAAACTTGGATCGTTCTTGAAGATTTATAAAGTTCGCGTTCGTTAGGGACACTCTAAATCGGTCAAATATTCGACATAATGCGCCAGTGTATGAAGAAAGTGTGAATATAACTGTAACTTTACCTCTAAACATTAATACCGGAATTGAGGTTATGCAACTTTATGGATTAAGTAATAAGTTGTGGAAAACAATTATGGATTAATAAGTCCTGAAATGGGGAATACGTATTGGAATACAGGTAGGTACATCATTTCTTTAGAATCCACATTTGGAAACTTTTAATTGCTGTCTACTGATCAGAGGGGCAAATTCAAGGTCCGTCAGCAAAATGGCCCCTTTCGCGTGTTTTGCATATTAATCCCCCGACCAGACCAACCCCCTAAAGAGAAAAGGCAACTTTTCAAGCACCCGTGCATATGCGCAAACTAAACTTCCAAGTTAAACGCGATGGAGTCAGTTACTTGCGCTAAGAATGATATTTGGTTTCACCTTGACGTCCTCGGCCCTGTCCATGGAACGACAAAAGCATGGCAGTGTGATTGATGGCGGCTCTAAAATAACAATTTCCCCCAGTAATTGGTTGAGCTATTCATTGTAAGCCAAGTACCCGTAGGCTCCCATATGAACCAGCTCCCGAAGTCGGCGCTCATTAGGCGTCAGACTAGGGGTGAGACTGCCCCTCCTGCAACTCTCCCTGGCCTCCCTGCAGCAACGCACAATCGGCTCTCCCAGCTCTTCTTCCTCATCCACCAGCACCTGCAAGCAAAAGCTTTCACTTTCCAACGCCCGGCGCTGTTCTGCACCTACTCCAGGCATGGTGAGCATTTCCAGGTCGGTTTTAAGGGAATGTCGGGAGGCCTTGGCGGCCAAGACGCGCCGAGTTCTTTCCATAGGCACCCACGCATCTTTGCGCCGATATTCTTCACCAACTGTGGTGGCGCGCGGAAGATGGGTGTCCTAAAATGCATAGCATGAGGCAGGCTTTGAGCTGAGCATCGGGTTGCACTTACAGGCGATTGTTTCCCGCGAACCAAATTTACCGAAACCTCAAAAAACATCCGTGAATTGAACGGGAGCGGCCTCACTCACAAACAGACTACCACTGGCCGGTTGAATAGTGCGTAAAACGAGGCTCAGTTTACCTCGCGGCGTCGATCGAAACCCTCTTTCTCTTGAAAAATTAACCAGTTATGAAGGTTACGATTTCACTGGAAGTTCGCGCGATTTGGAAAAAAGGGTGGCGCGATCGAAACAGCTTGCCCGAAAAAAATCGATAATTCGACGACATAAATGAAACTATGCGCTCAATAGGACTGCGCCAATTAAACAAAACCTACTAATTATGATTTATTATTAGCTGGCGTTATAAGAAATATGTAAGCATTACATCACACATTATCAAACTCACGAGACAAACCCCACCAAATCTTAAAGCACTAATTAACCAACATTAATTTGCGGAATGTAACCGATCACGCCATAGAATCGAGAGTCACATCCAATGCTTAATTCTTGCTTTCCTCCGGTTTTTTTTCTACTGGAGCTGCCTCCGCTTCAGGGACTTCTTCCTCATCTTCTTCGTTCTCTTTTTCCGCACGTCCAAATCTACAAAAAACCACAATCAACCATGAGTGATTACCATTTTTTAATAAATTACCGGTCATATCGCTCTCCATTAGCTCGCTCTTCGTCTTCGTCATCTTCTCTGCCATCAGTCTCTTCTAGCAGTTCTCCCAAATCTTTATCAACAGCTTCCCACAATTTATCCTCATCGGCACTCTTGGAAGTGTCCGCATCTTTGCTATCTTCTTCCTTCGTTTCCGTCCGTTCAGTCGCATCAGATTCGCCGTCTAAGCAAAACGAATATCCTGAAGTCGATTGAAAATGCGAGAAACCGCAACAAAACAAACCTTTTTGAGCGCTATTCTCGTCTTTCTGTTCTTTCTCAGCTGACTCTTTGCGCTGTAGCTTTTCGGCCTTTTTCTTCACTTGCTGGGTTTCCTTAAATCGGATGAAGCGTTGCATGTGGAATCGCTTCCGGCAATGTCTGCAACAATAAAGCCAATAATACTTGCAGCCACAACGCGTATATGGGGAATATACCCTGCCAATATATCTGGATACTCATTTTCTGTTCCTCTTGGAAGGAACATGCGGCACAGGTCACAATAATGGGCTTCAATTTTCTTGATTTTCTCCACACCCACACATACTCTCTTCCTGCGCTCTTCCCTCTCAGCTTCGTCTGCCGAAGCTAAAACGATAGAGAGCAGTTGAAACCAGTTGGCCTAAGAAAGCTGTTTGGTGCTATTACCAGTATTTTCATCGCCAACCTCTCCGATCGAATCAATGGTCGTAAATTCCTCCAGATTGTCCTCTTCAGCTACTTCTTCGGCTGTTTCTTCCAGTTTTTGCTTGCGCTAATTAAAAACACCAAAAATCCCACTATCGACTGCAAAACTTCTTCTTCAACTCACCTTCAAATGTGGAACACTGCACAAATGATGCTCATACACCATGGGGCTTTTGAAGTTAATCTTGCACACTTTACAGGTGGGTAACAAGAACTTTTTCATGTTTTTATGGGCAGGCGTGGCCTGATGCACGGCACGTTCCTGCTTGTAGTTCAGCTTACACAATGGGCAAAAGACCGTGTGTTCGGTTATTCCGTCGGCGGTCTTCTCCAGCTCGTTCTGCGAATTGCGCTGAGCCTGCCGCATCTGAGCTGCAAAGGGACGAAGTTTTGATTGACGCTTTGGTTTGTTTAAAAATGCTGGTAACATACTCAAAATTGAACGCTGCTTCGCCGCAACTTTTCTCATTGCAAACAAATGCGTTTTGCCGTGAAGATGAGATTCGTAGCGACTAAAAGTCGGGACGTTAATGTTGCACTGTGGGCATAGCAGCTTCACGTACGTTCTAGTTGGTGATTTGCTTATGTCCTCAGACTTGATTCCTTTGAGGACGGTGTCAGCTAGTTTCTCCACCTGAGAAGCCGGCATTCAATGAAGCTGCAAGATAAGTTGATCCAAACTGTTACCTTAGTGTCCCCTCCTTCGACAGGCTCGGTCTTTACTTCGATGCCTTCCTGTACAGCAGTTTTGTCATCGGGTTCTTTCTTTATCTTCAGCGTTACCTCATCTTCAACAGACTCCTTCTCACTGCTTAGAATGTCGCGTATGCGTCGGATCATGCTGCTAAGAAAGTAAATGGCATTGATGTAGTAAAACTCAACTTAAGATGCAACAAAGTGTGTAAAAGTCGTCGATTCACAGGTCAGGATTCTTCCTGATTTGCATGCCGTAAGCGTTCTTTCGCATATTGCAGATGCACAGAACTAGTCTCATTGCCACCTGGTTGAACTAGAAGAAACATTCTCTACGCTCTAAAACTACAGACAATTTTTCTCGGCCTGTTTGTGCCTTTATCACTGCATCAGTGATGATCTGTTTTATTTTGGTCTAGCAGTATCTTCCACTTTATCTGTTGTGCTGCCCAAAGAAAACTCAATAAAATCAAACGGTGAATCTATAACACAGTATGACTGAGCGTCCGCTCAAATCAAGTGAGTGCTGTGCGTGTTAGAATTTTGGCAATGTTATCCAATAAGAGTCCTATAAAAAATGTTTGTAAAACTGTAAATTCAAATTACCTCCGGCCTCTCACGTAATTAGATCGCCTTGAATGATAATCGCCTCTAATCACGCCCCGTTTCTTAATAACGTATGAGCTCACGGCCAACCTTCGTCTTATTGGGACTCCTCCTCTATCTCGCCTAAATCCGCGAGTGCCACGTGAGCTTAGGCGGCCCCTGCCTCCAGCCCTCGGCGATGAGGGAGAAGGAACGGGTTTGCGATAATCTTCCCTTCTCGAAGAGTAGGGCGATGTGAGATGCCTATCTCGGTCATCGGAATAGCTCCTTCTTTCTGGCGGATAGGATTCGTACCGACTGCTGTATTCGTGTCTCGATGGACCCTACATAAATTGGAGTTCAACAAGTATATTAGTCCGTTGCTGCGCTGTTTCACTCATCAGGGTTTTAACAGCGTAAAGCAAGGATTCTGTTTTTGGGCACTAGAGAAGTTTGCCAGCCATTTAGCAGTTTTATTACGCCCAACAGTGCTACGCTCTGAGGCCTTTCGGCTTTTAAAGGGGCTTTTTTACAGGCTGAACGCCCATCTGTTGCAGCTTGTAAGATTTTTCCTTCTAGCTATTCTCAAGAGAACATCGGGGAATAGATCTTACAATCGCTGCTCTATATAATCAGAAATAAAATTGCAAAACTATGGCACCATCTATCTACATATTGCTGCTTCGTTACAGATTCGAGCTCCAGCATGATAAAACGTACATTTTTGCTTAGGGAACATGTTCAAAATTTGAGAATTTGCAACTATCAGCTTTTCCTAGTCTGTTTCTCAAATGTTTTAATGCGACTTCAATATTAATTGTTTTATTTTTTAGTTGCTTGTGAAGGCCTCCTGCTTTTAAATACTTTGATCAATCAAATGCTTTCATAACGTTTACATCTGTGTTTTCAATTGACATTTGTTGCTATATTTGTTGTCTTTCTGTCTTTTTGGCTGAAACAAATGCTAGAATTCTGCTTAGTAATACACTTACATCGTTTCGGGGCCGTTTTCTCTCCGGAGAATGTCTGTCCCGCGAGTAACTATCCTGTAAATCATCATAATTAATTAAGTTAATGAAGCAAAAGCAAATACCCTATTTGCCCACAATTACCCCTCAAATACTCATAAAATATTCAATACCTGAAGTCGATAAAGTGATCGTAATCAGATTGACCCAAATACGTTCAGCACAATATTGTGTTTTAATGATATATTTACTTATTGTAAACGACATTTCATTCGACTGAATAAATAATGCAATAGAAGTTCATTTACCATGCGATATGGCTTAGGGTACTCCTCTCTGGTGTACCTTTCATTGAATCTGCCCTTGTCATAGTTATCATACGAATAGTGCTCCCTAGAACTTCTTCCGTAACCTGAGAATGAGAAAAATGAATTAATTGCAGACTTTTTTCGCAAACAACGGAGAATGGTGCCAAAGGAGTGAATAGAATGCTGATTAAGAGGCTGAGGGTTTTTTGATTCTAAGTTTCCTTTGCCACCCTGTAAATTAGTGAAACTGGACAATAAGTTAATCACCTCCGTTCCAGGGACTCCCTCTGTTGGAGCCTCTATAAGAGCTGCCTCTAGATGAGTACCCTCTTCCACGCACCATATTCCTGCAATAAAACACTAATTTAATGGCCAACGCAGTCACAATTATTTTTTGATGGTTCAAGTTTGGTTAAAAGGGCGCGAGTTGAAAACGTATTCAACAATGGTCTCCTCCTTCTCTTCGCCTTGTAGTAAAAAGCCTTTTATTTTGATGAGGCTGCTCAAGCATTTTCTAGATATGCATACCTTCCAACACCAACCGGGGGATACACTTTAGAACCGTTTATTGCACTTTACGTTAAATTGGCCGCAAAATGCTGGGGATTTTGCAGAATCAGGCAACGAGAAAATCAGTTCAACTATCAATGGCGGATTTTGACATTGAATAAATACCAGCCGCACATTGTTGCCAGCTGTTTCGTATCATGATACGATATATCAGGATTTTAAAAATCTGGCCGTTTATATGCAATAATTTCAATATAAATTTAAATTCACAGCTAATAGTAGACTGTCTATGCTTGTAAAATGACGAAAGTGGTTAATATAGGAAAATTGATCAGAAGCAATGGCAACTAAACCTAAAAAGGACGCCTGAAGGATTATGGGAAATCAGAAAGTCCAAAAGCGGGAAATTCAAACAACCGACTTCATTTACATTATAAATGCGAAATTTTTCTACGCGTCGCTATTTCCAGATTTAAAAGAGACATTTCTTTTTCGTGCAGTATCTTGGCTCTTTTCTCCTGATTTAAGAAAAATCTTCTTTTGATCCTGTCCGTTTGCATTTTGCGCCGGTGCTCAGCTATTTGCCTCTGCTCTTGTCTTTCTGTAAGTAACTCCATGAGGAAATGCCTTGAACACTGAATGCAGATGCTCACCTAGCATTTCCAACTGTTTTTTCATTAAGTTCAATTGAGGCCTGTTCGAGGGATCACTCGGTAGGTCCCAAATCGCATCTTCATCAGTTATGACAAAATGCTCGTCAGTCAATTCCTCAGAGCCGTGAATCACAGAACCTTCCTCTACAGGATGTTCTGGGCTGTCAATGTTTGTGTTATATTCAGTCTTGATATCGTCGGTGGTTTCAATTTCTAAATAAAACATTTTTAGATTCAAACAATGTCCGGTAAAACATAGGTATTTACCACTTACTGGATTCTGAATCGTCTTCGGATTCAGATAAAACAATGAAACTCAGCGATTGGCTGGTATTGACGACCTGATTTTCCAGCAATCCAAGCAATTCCTTTTCGTAATCTTCCAGTTCTGTGACGTTCGGTGCCACTTTGCCCTCCTTTAGTTCTTCCAGGTTTTTGAGCCGCTTCCTTCTGGCAAGCTTCTTGATACTGTCGTACTTATGCCTAAGCTGATCAACTGTTCGTTTATTTTCACCTACGCCAATGAACCTATTTAGGCCACCAAGTGGGATCTTAATCGATCACCTACCGAAGCACTTATTGTAATTTTCAGCTACGATGTTCCATACTAAATCCTTTCGTCGGCAGGTCTCTGCGTCCACTTTCTTGTTCTCAATTATTTCCAGATGGGCCAGGGCCAGGCTGTAGAGGGTGCGAGTCTCTTTATCGGAATAATTGGGGGATCTTCGCCTTTTTCCGTGTGTCGAGCACTGATCGCCTGATAAACCCCCCAAGCTTACGATTTGGTACTTTCCTAAGTCTATAAATGGGTTACAAGCCTGTTGAGGTGTGAAGAGCATATTTAAGAAAATACTCACTATTTGCCATTGTTTTGGTTTTGATGAATTACTACTAGCATAACCTCTAATTTTTCCTGCTAACCCTGTTAGGAGCCATAGATAAACACAAGTTAAGAGCTGCCAAACGTCATTGATTTGTGTCATTTCCCGAAAAACCGTCAAACCAAATTTGGAGATATTCCGCGAATTTTCAACTTCCGTTGAAGTAATTGCTGATTTTATGAAAGAGAAAATTCTCATTGATCGTTTTGTGGTATTTTCTTCTCCAGTAGTGCGCTTGTGGCCAAAAAACGCGATTTTCAAATTATAAACTTTCTGACGTCTATTGTCAGATCGACAAGTCTATATGCATGTGCCTACTAGCATTTAGGTTTCAATATTGTTCACATTAGAGGTTTAGGCATTTGGTGATTTGATAACTCTGGAAATAATTATAGACTGGTGGTAGGTGGCAGTTTTTTTAAACAAACACTTGACCCAGTGGCGGTTCCTGCATACGCTATACTGCAGTAGAACTTCTTTAGAAAGGGAGTCAGAGATACAGCTGCAATGCAAGTAAAAATGTAATTCAGCAACACTGCAGCGCTAATGGTTCAGCGAGCCGCTACTGCTTGGTACAAATTAACAAAATATAATTTTTGCAAAAGTTTTTTAATACATCAACTATTTTATAACTTTTTTTGTCGTGTTATACTACGTCAACATCTAGACTCAAGCTTATATAACTGGATGTGTTTTGTGGTGTTTTTAGGAGTTTCTTCTTTTTCTTTGTCTGAAGTTTCGTGAGCTTGTCAAGTTTCTTTATTTTATCCTGTTTTTGTCTGTCTTTTTTTCCCGTACCAGGTGATGCACTGTTCTGCAACTTTAAGGCTTTTCTTTCTTTTTTCGACAACGCATTTCCATGCACTGAGCTGCTGGTTTGTTTCTTCTTCTTCGTTTTTTTCTTTTTAGCTGGCCGGTTTTGTTCAGGCGACTCATTAATGATTACGATGCTTTCTTGCTCCCCTAAATCATTGTCAGTATCCCTACTTTGTGCTTCGCTTGGCAATATTTCTTCGCCAATATCTTCAAGTTCGTCAACTTCACGTTCGAGAACTTTTTCTTGACGATGTACAATGGTACCAGAGACTTGTCTCTGAATGGTACGGTCCAGTTCGATGACCTCTAAAAATAAAGGCATTCACTAGGGCAACAATCACACACAATCTGTGCGAATCAGCGGCCAACTATAACTTACCCAAGTCGTCTTCAGTAATACTGAATCCTCTCAATCGGTTTGGCAACAAGCTCTTTTTCAGGTTGCGGAGTTTAGAGAAGTTCAGACCGAGCTCCTCATCTTCGTCTAGCAAAACGTACTCATCGCAAAACTGCACGTCGTCGCCTTCATCGTCGACCAAATCAAAGAAATCCACTACATCATTTGATGATTGGCATGTAAGATCTACGAAATCTTCTTCGTACACCTGAACACCACGAAATCCATTGATGATAAATCATGTAGACCGTCCGAATCAACGAGTTTTATACACTCACCCACTGAACTTCTAGCCAACTCCTCAAATCCAGAGGCAAAACTTCTTCTGGCGGCAGCCAACTCTCGCCAAGATTTTCCAAATGTTCGGCATGCGGCAACAGTTTTCCATACAGTTTGCACAGAAATTTGGTATTGAATTTGATTAAAATTGCCAATCGTGAAACGACCGCGAACAAAATAACGAACAACTTCCAAAAATGACCAATTCGGCATCTGCTATTCAGTTGGTCGGCCGCACGTGTAGCGGTTTCGAAAGTTGTTGCCATGAGTTTGGCCAAACCTTAAAAATTTTAGTTAGAAAGTAAATGTTGATTGGCTATACTTTGTTACCTTGAAGCCGAACCAAGATATAACAGAGCATGTTTTTGGTTGGCAAGTAGGTGTCGTTGTCGTACTGAGCTGGCACCAACTCGAGTATGTTTTTCAAGTGCAGCACCATATTCGGACGGAAATAAAGAGTTAGACAACGATTGATTTTCTCCAGCAATTTGAAGTCTTTGGAGCTTCTGAACTTCATCTTCATCCTGTAGAGTATTCGGGACAAAATCCCCCATTCGCTCTTCAGTAACATGTTGTCCTGAAGTTCCTTGATGCCTTCATTTAGGGCATTTCGCAGTTTATTCAAATCTAGAACGTGATATCAATGAAACTACACAATTTCCTGAACATACACACTTACCTAAGTCGCGATTGGTGGCTTTGAATGAACTTATGGGGGGCTGGGGCAAGTCGCGCTGGTTCCAAAACATCGCGACAATTAAAGTCTGTGAATTAAAGACAAATTCAGGGGGTGTTTCTGCGAGATAAATTGTTTACAGTTTACACCATAGATGCACAGATCACAGACGTTACTCTGTAATCTGTGATAATTCTATACTGTAAGAATAAGGGTTATACCATACATAACCTAAATCCACAGATCACCGAGGTTGAGCCTATACGGGGCGGCCTTACACAATTTACCCATGTGTAGTAGGCAATTGTTATACAAATATAAATATCCTTATTCTGTGCACAGGTTCTGTGGCCGCGACTGTCAATCAATGATTGTTATTGTTTACTTTGCATGAACCTATTTAGACTATTATAGTTATTTAGTCTTAATAGGTCTTAAAGTGATTTCAAATTTTAACAACAATGGGTGATGAAAAGGAGTATATTGTGAAAAAAGTCCTTTACACTGGAACCTCACAAATATCGTTTAAAAATGGAACTAAGGTATATATTCTAAGTAACTGCACGTTTCGAATTTAACACATCAAAACATGTCTTAGATATTTTTCCACTTTCAAACGAAAATCTGCAACAAAGACAAAACGTTGCTAGATGATTCGCGAAAAATGGGAAAAGGCGAACCTTTACATATTATTCTTGGGAAGAAATTCAAACTCGAAGTATGGGAAGTGATCCTGCAGAAAATGGCCCTAAATGAAGTAGCCCAATTTACAGTTGATAAAAGTGTAAGATTTTATTTACTATGCAGCTTTGGAGTCACTCTTTCTAAAGGACAGTTAACCGATTATAGCTAGTCATGGAGTATCCATTTGTATCGAAAACTTTACGAGACATGCACAGGCCAAAAGAGGAAATAAAGCACACTCACACTTGTGCCATGTCTATGCAAAGTGGGGGTGTAGGATATGATGATTTAAATAATCTGCTGAAAAAGTCGGAGGATCTTGAATTCACTTTCGGTAAGAAAATGAAATGAAAATATTTTTGACTGCCCATAAAAGGCTTCAAGTCTGATAAAATGTAATACATTGTTTTGTTAGAAATTGTCAAAGTAGAACAACCAGATGAATATGAAAAAGAAACTTGGCAATTAAATGAAGATGAACAGATTGATATGATTCCAAAGTTAAAATTGCAAGGTAATGACGAGTATAAGAAAAAAAATTTCAAAAAGGCATCAGAATTATATAGTAAAGCTATCGGAATGTTAGAACAACTTATGTTGAAGTAAGTAGCAAGAATTCAATCAGTTTTTGCGACTGCAACAAATGCCTTTAATTCAGAGAAAAACCTTATGACATTGAATGGAACAAACTTAATGAACAAAAATTACCGATTCTTCTCAATTTTGCGCAATGCAAATTAAATGAAGAAGACTACTACGAAGTAATCACACACTGCACAGAAGTGATTAAATATGACAAAGGTAGTGAACTAAACAATAATAATATTCATCACTGAAATTGGTTTCGCATTTTAGATAATGTCAAGGCTTATTTCCGACGTGCCAAAGCTCACATTGCTGCTTGGAACCCCAAAGAAGCTCAAGAAGATTTGGAAAAAGTCATGGAACTTGATGCATCTTTGATTCCTCTGGCTAAAAAAGAATTATGCATACTTGACGATTTGATTAAAATCAAGGATTTACAAGATAAGGAGAAACTAAAAAATATGTTTAAGTAATCTGGTTTGGGCAGTAATAAATTTTATATTGTACTTATATGTATATGCAAATGTGTCGTATACAAAAAAAAAATTCTTTACAAATTTGAAATTATTTACGTTAACAATTAACTTTAAAATCACTTGTTTGGTAACAAGTTTTGGGACACCTTGTAAAACTTATAAAAATTATTTACGTAAAAATGTGTCGTACACAACGCGAAAAATTAATAAACTGAAAAAGTGTTCATAGTTTCATTCATTTTTCATATAACATGTGTTAATTAATACTCGTCATATGCTTCATTTCTACTAAACTAAAAAAAATGTTTTATTATCAAAAATTTAATAACAGAAACCAACAGATTTAAATAGAAAATTCTTATTCACGTATTCAATTAAGCTTAGCTATTTACGCGAATCAGCCTAAGAAAATTAAATTGATCAGGGTATTGATCTCGATCACTCTACAAAATGTTCTGGTTCAGCAGGCAGAATCAATACAAAGTTGGCCTTATTTAAATAGACAGTCGCGACTCATCAAAACAATCAGCGGATAATAATCCACTAGTTTATCCACGATAATAACTACTTTATCACGTTATCGTTAGTCTACCATTGAACATTGGAACATCTAACAGTTACGAACTAATTTAATGAAAAAAAAAAGCAGGAGCCTTCTCCATATATCACTTATTTTCAATCTCTATTAGTAGTAAGTCTAGTTCAGTCTACATTGGAATCATACTTCCGATAAGACAGAATTAATTAAGACACAGACCCATTTCTTAACCTTATCATTCAATTAATATTTAAATCAACGTCCGTCGATAATATCATTTAAGCGTTGTTAAAGGGTTAAATCTTTTGACTAGAAGAAATGCAAAACTTGATACATTGACACATACCGACACACAGTTTACTTCCCTCTGCCCATACATCTACATAAAAATAATATATAACAATCACCATCTACGATCTGAATCAGTCGTCCAATAAAATCATCACCAAATGCACTAAATGTTTCCTCGGCCTATGGGGAAAGGGTGAGCTTCCGTATTAATTACAAATTTGTCTAAGTCTAACAGTTTCCTATCGTCGCTAAACAAAAGATATAAGTATTTCAAAGTTTCGCCTAAGAAAAACGATTCCATCATATCTTTAGGTTGGACGTTTGCTGTATTTTTCACATTTCCAATTGAAGTGTAACCATGTACGACTTTAGTGAAGTTCTCAAAGCCCTGGAAAGAACCAATAAATTTACATACGGAATGATGGAATCCGTTTTCTAACAATAAGAGAATATCAGGTCGTCTGATGGTATAATTTCAGTCATTTTGTCTTTTTGCTTATCAAAAATATTTAAAAGATTGCATTAATAATTGTCAGTTGTAGTTTTATGTGTTGGAAAAGAGTGCATAAGAACCTCGTCCCTAATGAGACTGTCTCTAGAAAAAAATCGCTCTACATGGTGGTTCAAAATTAGCGTAATTCCTCATACAGGGCGCCCTTTCCACGAGCCTGGCGATTGGAATTTCGGAAATCACAGTAGATACGAGGTCGCATAAGTTGAGGCCAAGTTGCACATTTTTTAGCTTCTTTTTGACTTACTTGAAAAATTTGCCATCCCCAATCCTGGTAAGTGGTGTTTCCTGTTAATTGATACATATACCACAAACTTTCGAGAAACTCTGGCCTAAGAAGATTATGAGCGTCATTAGACTTAATGTACATATCATTTGAGTTTTCTCCCTAAAATAATTATAGAATTACGGAAACTAATTAGGAGTATTAGAACCTAGAATACAGTGTTACCTGAAAATTAAAATATGTTATTTCCGGAGCTAAAAATGTGGGTTGCTTAGCATAGGTTTGATAACAAGTTGTTAGCAATTCTTCAGCCAATTTCATGTGTGAACTGGGAAGACCATTATGTGCGCCTGAAATAATTTGATAAGCCAGAGCAATTTTGCAGGTAAACAATCAGTTAAAACCTAATGCTAAAGTTCCTGGCATGAAGCAAGTCAGATGGTCCATCTTTGGCTTAAAATCTTTGGTGCCGCCTACAAGCTCTCCAAGGAACAGTAGTCCATTAGGTACAGTGCGCTTGGCTAAATGTAATTCTATCCCATTTACGCTTGACAAATAATCGTTTTTAAGGCTGCAAATTATACAAACGCTTATTGAAATTGATATGCAATTACGGAATTGCGGACTTACTATTCTAAAGTTTTCTCACTCTGTATCCACTGCTTCAGTAAATATTCGTAATAACTATCTCCTCTGGCGCCTAGAGTGATAGTGGCGTATGCTCTAAATTGTCCATTGTTAGCGTTAATAAAAATAGGAACTAAACCATCCGTTTTTTCTAGCCTATGCACTAATTGTGATACTTTGCTGACAACATTCTAAAATGAAATAAACCTGGCGGTAGCGAAATGAGCTATCAGCTAAGCCAAATATAAAAAAATTACCTCATACTTTGAATTGTCAGTAAGCCAACTTAGATATCTAAATTCCAGTTGAATAGTAGTTACTTCCGAAGTGCTACTATCTGGGGACCATCTAGGGGCATGAGCTTTTCTGGTAAATAAGTTAATATCAGAGAATGGAATTCCAGATTCGCTATCAAAGCATGGTAAGAGTCGGTCTGCCAAATCAGTCTAAAATAACAGATTGAAGCAACAATCTAACGATACATTTAGATCATACAGCTTTTTTTAAGTACATGTCATCTTTAGTGAAATGGTAGATGCTCAATAATCCTCCGAGCACTCTTATTGTGACCTCGAACAAATTTACATCTCTGTTCACATCAAAATTCAAATGCTTGTCTACCCAGTTTCTTGCATCATTATATTCTACAAAAAAACATCATGTGGGCCACCAATTCAACTAACGGTTTTTGCGCTCTAACCGTCTTTGAGGTTCATCATATACATCGTATCGAGAGAATCAACGATAGTGAGACCTAAGCCGAACCAATCATGGTAGCTCTTAGAAATCGGCTTGAGTTGATCATGACCCCAGGCAAACTCTTTATATCCTTTCCAAGCATGTTTGAAAGCTTGCACAACTGCCTTTTGTCGTGGGGTTGATGGGTCTTTAAGAAATGAAACTGATGACGTTTCGTTCTAACAATCACCTTAGTTGCTTCATACCTACCCGGAAAATATATTAAGTTCTTTGGGGGCTCGGCTACTTGTTCACTGTCAACTTTATTATTTACTTGGGCCCCTTCCGGATCCTCTAGTACCTATAAGGTTACAGAGTTTTTAACTGAAGTGTTTGAGTGTGAGTTTACAGATACAGGGTGCTCACGCACATTAGGGGTTAGATTAGACGCAATATATGTAGTGTTCTAGCAGCGTATCGGTGAGGTTTATGTAAAGCGAGATTTTTTCATGATTAAGGTCGTTGGATAAGTTTCGGTTTTTTTATGTTACACACCTAATACCTAATAACAAGAAAATAATATCGTGAAGCTTTCCCGATGGTTAGATGAAGATGTATTAGTTTTCTTACTGTTTTACACATACAACATATAACTTGATACAGTAATAAGAAAAAAGGGGTGATTTGTCAGATTTTTCCTTGTTAGCAGACTAATAACTGTCTGAAATTGATATGAGGCAAACTATTCAGTAGGTACCTGGTTATCATTATTGCCCTCCACTCCAATTTCAACTACATCTCGGGGGTCGTTTCGAATATTGCCTAGTGTAACACTTTTTTCAGTGAATCCTGGGGCATTCTCGACTGTTATTATGGTCCCTTTCGAATCCACCGAGATAAAATACAGGGACGTTAATGTAAAAATAAGCCCAACCAAGTAAATCACACTTCTTTGGCACTTTGAAAGTTGTTTCCATTGCTAGAATAAAACGATATACTTTACATGAGGCTTGCCTATTCACACTGGAAACAATTATATAGTTCAAGTTTTACGCATACCCGTTTCAATCTAAATTGTCGCCTTAGAGTTGAATTATCTTCTAACAAGTTGAGTGCTATATGGTCACTTTGACCAAACATTTTCAAGGCCTAATATGATGTTAACATTATTGACATTGATATTGATTATTACAGTTTATCTTATACATATGTGCAGCGCGTGTTTTATGCATCGGAAATCACAAAAATCCCATTATATTTTGCATGTAAAAAGGGCAGATGACAATAACAACAACCAGAACATCTGTCAAATTGAAAATTCACCTTGTGACAGCTAACGTCAAACGTGGCCAATGATACACTTGCGTCTACGGAACCGCCTTACAGAATTTATGTATCTGTAGTAGGCAATCCGTTATTGCTTTTATGCCAGCGATTAGCTGATCTATGCATTACATTCTTTGAATATAAAACTAAAAGAATATAAAACTAAAAGTATTTGCGCACCATTATCGATCTAAACTTAAAAAAAAACATGGATTTCTAGTCTCCGAAATGATGTTTAATGCATTAGTTCACAACCATTCCCTTTTCGTTTTTAATTTCGGAATTTAGCTATTCTCAAACGCCTCCACCTACACACGTTATTGTATAACCGATTGCCTACTACATATAGATAAATTATGTAAGGCCGTTCCGTAGAGGTAACATACACCGAATCAAAACGACAGTCCCCACGTTGTTTGGTTCAATGTTTTGAAGGGTGGGGATGCGTGGCTTTTCTCTATTCTGTATATTCTAGGAAAATTCATTGAATATTCTGTTGTGGTGATAATGCCTAGTGTTCAGCGTGATGTACTCGCTTTAATAAAATTCCAAGCTGAAGGAGACAACCAGGAGACGATCTGCATCTTTAGTCGAGTCTTTGCAAGGTAAATAAAGGAACTTATGAAATTAGTAATTAGTGCATAACTTTTACTTCATTACTCGTACAATTTATCGTACTTGTTTGGTCAAACGCTTAACTATCGGGCGTTTTATGGTAAATATCTTGATTTAACCCAACATTTGCTCATAAATAATAAATGTTATTGTCAATCTGACAACTGTCGAAAAACTAACCTCTGCGTATGCGCTGTCTTAAGTTTAAATACATTACAGAGCTTTGAGACAAACCGTTTTTGTTTGCTAATATTACAAATTAATGCCGCCGAAATTATGGTAAAGTGTTTGAAGATGGTGTAAAACTATTCTGTTTTTAAACGAAAACAGATTTACAATGACTGAGGACACCAAGAAGTGTGATATCTTGAATGTTTCGTGCAAACCTCCTGAAATTCACGACTTTTGTATTATCAAACCCATAAGTCGTGGGGCGTTTGGAAAAGTGTTTTTGGGTGCAAAAAAAACTAACATGGACGTCATGTATGCTATTAAAGTGATGAAGAAGACGGAAATGGTTAACAAGAACATGGTGTTTCAAGTAGTCAATGAAAGAAACGCTTTAGCCCTGACTAAGAGTCCTTTCTGTGTGCAGCTGTTCTATTCTCTTCAAACGTCCACGTCGATTTACCTAGTGATGGAATATATGGTCGGAGGCGACTTGAAATCCTTGTTAAGCGTGTATGGATTTTTTGATGAAGCGATGGCTACATTTTACATTGCAGAAGTTACTTTAGCATTACAATATCTTCATAGGCACAACATAATTCACAGAGACATTAAGCCTGACAACATGCTTTTATCTAAGAGTGGTCATGTGAAATTGACCGATTTCGGTCTATCGAAAGTGCATATTCATCGTGACTTGGAGATCACCGATTTTGAGAATTGTACCCCAAATTTGTGCGCCAGAACTCCTGGCCAATTGCTAAGTTTGACGTCGCATCTAAGCTTTGGATCAGGGAACTCTAAGCATGTTGGTGACCCTCATAATAACAGTTCATTTTTATCAGAAGAATTATCAGTGTCGAAAGACAGTTCAACTATTGGAAAAACTAGTGCATATTTAGAAAAATCCGCAGACATTCAAGTCAGGAAACATACAGGAGTATCGGGTGTTCATTTTTTGTCAGCTGATAATCATACACCACAAACCTCAACAGATTGCTCAACGAGTTCAACATATTTTACATGCAGTTCCAATACACAGACATCTTCACTGAAGACGGATGATAGTTGCCAAGCTAGTGACGTGATTGATAACAGCACATCACCCTTGAGTCGTAGAATTCCCAGCAGATTAGGACTCTATTACAAGGAGAGGGAGGCAGAAAGGAAAAGGAAATACCGCAGCCCCAGCCCGAATCGCTCCAGAAAGACTTACCTTAGAACGGGACTAACTGGTGAAATGGAAATTTTAAGACTTGATGCAGCATCGCTTCCGAACGGTGTTACATTTTCAACTCCCGTATCTATCGAAAAGTCTCGAAAAGTCAAATCTACGCGATTTGAAATACCACCATTGTCCCCATCAGAAAAATCCACCAAGGAAGATGATTCGAGTCAAGTAAGTCCTATAGCAGCTAATGCAACAACACCCAAAACTCCTATGACACCATATCGTACTCCTAAATCGGTAAAGAGAGGCCAATGGAGCTCGGATCAGCGAATTTTAGGTACCCCCGATTACCTTGCACCAGAATTATTGTTGCAAAATGGCCACAATGAGGCTGTGGACTGGTGGGCGTTGGGTGTATGTTTTTATGAATTTGCTACAGGAATTCCGCCTTTTAACGACAACACCCCACAACAAGTGTTCAAAAACATTTTGGAACATAACATTGATTGGCCGACTAATGAGGAAGCTCTATCTGGCTGTGTGGTAGAAGCTATCGAGAGCTTGCTAGTGCACGATCCTGCACATCGCGCTACCGATGTTGAATTGATCGTTATGGAGGCATTCAAAAACATTGACTGGACTAATTTGCTCAATCAAACGCCGCCCTTTGTACCAGATCCATGCGATATTACTGACACAGCATATTTTCAAGCTCGGAACGAGCTGCTTAATTTTAATTTGTCTAATTTTGATTTGTAACATCCCAAGCATTTTTATTATGTAAGTTCAAAAAATTGATATAACTGTTAGCTATATGTACTACCAAGTGATTGCAAAATTTTCAGATAGTTACATATGTTTTGTTTTTGTTCAACTTTTGTGTAAGAGCCAAAATACTTATCTGCTGATGAAAATCTAGTGGTTTTACTAATTATTTAATTGACATTAATAATGGTTTTAATGATGAGTTTGGTCGCCTTATTCCAGGATTTTACTCGTAAATCATGTGGCTTTAAATATGTTAGTTTGAATATAGACTGCAACTGAATGAATGTTTCTGCATTTTTCTTAAGGTTCTCTCTGCAGTATCTTTGCATTCTGTTTATGGAAACGTTTGGAGAGCACACAACTACAAGTCAAAATACGTGTACGACTGAACCAAGCTGAATTTTTACCAAGAATTCGTTTTCCTAAAATTAATAATAAAAAGTGTCTCATGTGGTGCCAACTTAAGTAGACACACTGTATATGTTACTGATATTTCTATTTGTATGTAACCTTTTTGGTATGTCTCGTAATTTTTGAACACTAATTTCGGTGTATTAAAAAAAACTATTTTCAAACAGTAAATGTGCTATTAGTGACGTCACAGTCCCGCGCGAGTCCCACAATTCGCTTGCCGTGAGCTATCCTTTTGTGTATAGCGCCGATTCAGAGCGGTTGTCAGCTGTCACAGCTGACTTTCAATTTGCCGCGAAAACATTTATGGCGAGAATTCAACCTACTACATTTCCCCGTGAAGCCAACAGTGCAAAGCAATAATGGATTTTTTACACATTTCCATTGACGAGTGGCTTTTGAACGAAGAGGAAAATATGAAACGCCTGCAACATGATGCAATTTGGAACAAAATCCCGCTCATTAATACCAATGAAATTCACAATTTTAATAATGGAACTCTGGTACGTTTTCGCGGAATGATCCAGGATATGTATGGCCCGGAGTATTATATGGAAACATTTGAGGTCAGAAATGAAGCAACAAATGAAATTACAAGAGGCACATCTAAATATATGGACTTGGTGAGTTGTACGGAAGGTATGGATGTAAGGTTCATTGAAGATCCCAGACATACCAGGGAAAGACATTGTTACGTAGCTACAAGTGTCCCAGGCCTAAATAAATGGGTACAAGACTGCGAGAGAACACAATTCACAATTGCTGCACCACCAGCAGCATCGTCAACATCCCAAAAAAGACCTATAGATGATGTCATGGACGTCGATGGGGATAATCCAAGTGGAAGTGGTTCTTTGCCCAAAAAAGTATCCAACAGTGGTAGTTGCAAGGAAACACCTGCGAATCCCCTATGTTCGATGGAACACTTACTAAATCACCCTTTAGGAGATGCAAATGCTAAAGTGTGCCATTTGAAAGTTTACAATGAATCTGACTCATTAAAACTGAATGATGTTTGCGAGTTTGTGGGATTTTTGAGCATAAATCCTTTAATAGAGTCAGCACTTGCCGATACAGATCTGGGAACTGAATTAGAACTTCAAATTCATCACCCACCTACCAGTGTAATTCCAAGAATTCATGTTGTTCATTTCAAGGCATTAAACCATTTAAATCCCTTGCTCAGTGATTCAGAAGTTAACAACGGCCTTAATTTGGGAGCAATTAAGAAAGATCTTTTAACACTCTTGTCGCAGCTGTTTATGGGAGATGTTCTTGCTGCAGAATATTTAATTTGCCATCTCATATCAGAAATATACTCGAGACGAGATATACCCTTGGGAAAATTTTCCCTAAACATTTTCAATCTACCAAAGTTGGAGAGTATTGATGTTGTCACTGAAATTTACAAATTCCTAGAGCGATTAGTGCCTGCAAGTCACTATTTACCTTTAACGTTGGAGAACATGAACACTTTGTCGTTTACACCTAAGAAGGACTACGACTGTAATCGTCTGACCAGTGGCATACTACAGTTGAGCAAAAATACCCATCTGGTATTGGATGAAACTAAGCTTCAAGAAGGAAAACTGAATACATGTGGGATCCAAGCTGTGAAAACTTTGGCCAATGCAATTAAAGACCAAAAGGTGGCTTACGATTTCAACTATTATCCCATTGTATATGAGTGTGATATTCCATTTCTAATTCTATCAGAAGGAAAAAGCATGTTGCCCTCAGATGTGGGTATTCCACTCGCACCGGAGGAAGCAAGCATTAAAACATTTAGCGAAATACTGCAAGCCGCCGACCACTTTTTAAACCCTGAATTGCTGACCAACATTCGAAAATATTTAACCCAGGCTCGATTAATAAAATATGACATATCCGAAGAAGTTCAGGTTGTTATTCAGGAAGAATTTGTGAGGATGCGACAGAACAGTAACATTACTGCTGAGGATTTACATGGTTTATTAGTATTATCCAGATTAATCTGCCTTTCCGAGGGAAATGGTACGTTGAATGTGTCTTGCTGGAAAAAAGCTTGTGAAATGGAGGCAAAGAGGAAGGCCCGGCTGCCTAAATGAACACTTAGTGAAATATATGAGGTTTTGTTTGTCATTGTATTTATAAGTACCTAGATTAGAGAATCAACATTTTTTTGTGTACAGTTTTCATACCGTATTTGAGTACTTTTGAAATACATACATTATCTTTATTGATTTGATTGCAATTTATTTACGTTTCCTAAATGAACTGATTTCAGGTGTTAAAATAAAGCTCAGTAGGAATAAACTTAAAAGTGTTCGGTTCAAATTTCTGGGTTTGCAAAGTGTTCCCTTATCGAAAAAGTTTGGGAAAACCCTGGTGTGGACTATATTCTATTTTCCTTTTAGGAATAGTCCGATACAGAAAGACAAATTTGGTATAGAAAGTAGCGATTCAGATGAGGAATTGGACAGCTTGCAAGATCAATCCTTTGTCGTTTCAGACGAGGAGGTAGTATTTGAGACGTTTTGATTTAAATTGCACGTAAATATATTGGGATGGAGTAGTTTCAATTATCATTAATGTTTTTTCGAAGGACTCTGAAGAATACACCAGGAAAAACTCCGTCATAAATATCAGCAAATTAGACACCAACGTACATTTTCCCCCGTATCTAAGTCATGGTGATTTTGAACACAAATCTTTAGCCACTGGATTGTTTGCGAAGAGCGATGTAAGTACTGTTAAACCGCTGAAAGTCGATGGAATGGCAGAACTCGTAACATTCCAGAACGATCATGAAAATTCGAGCTGCTATCACACAGCATCTCATACGGACAACTTTTCAACTGATGAACACGATAGCATAAAAGACAGTCAAAACGTTGTGACTCAGTTCAAAGGGTTACATGTGACGGATAGTGGGGCCGATCTACCGGAACTTGCACATGATGTCGAGTACTTTAATGAACTGGACACCAAATGGCAAACATTTTGGACAGAAAATGGTTAGTCTTCCTTTGAATTTAAATATAAACATTTGAAAAATACGGCATAACGACCTCACCAGCAACATAGCAAACATTCACGATTCGATTGTCGCAAATACACGATGATTAAAGTAAAGTGGTAACTAAGCACCGCCAATTAAATCTTAAAATATGTTATTCGAGTCGTGAAACCCACGGAATCTTTTTGCGTATTTTGATTGATTGGTTCTACAGGAGAAAAACTGATCTGGAATGCGTGGATAACTAAATACAGTGCATTTATCAACCCCAACTACGTGTCTCAAAACATCGAAAAAGAGTCAGGAAATCAACTTGGAACAACCAATAGTAATGACCATCCGACGACTTGTTTGGAGTGAGCAATTTAAAAGGAATCGGAAAATGTGGCTTCTTACTAATGTGTTTTAGGTCATCCCGTTTTAGTTTCGACGAAAACCTGATCAAAACCTCGTCGGACTCTCAGTTGAAACAACAACAAGCGGAAAATTCCACAAAAAAATTACCACTTTCCCGTTTTTTATCCACAAGCGAAGAGAAAATATCGACCGATGTATCAGAAGGATGGAATCCACTGTCTCCTGTGAGCATTGATTGTGAGACGGAAGCAGAGCGCCTGCTGAGCTCACGGTGCGGCTCACGAACAAGTGGCCGTTCGTTTAGAACAGTTGATTCTATGACCAATGTAACTCGTATATCCGTCAGTTCATTAGACTTGGGAAGCAGCCAGAGCAGCGACAGTATTTCGTCTGTGAGCTCGGTTAGTAGCTCGGAGGGTTCAGATGTTGCCGAAGAAGATTATCAGGAGCAGTGGAATAATCTTTGGAAGGAAAACTACGAGAAAGAATACATTTTCCAGTATAATAAATTTATTGCCGATAATCAAGAGACTGACGATCATGTGGATATTTTAAAAGACATCCTCGAGGTGAAAGAGTTTGATAATGTTACAGTAGCTAGTTCTGAAACTCTCATTTGCGACGATTTTCGGTTCAATGAGCAATGCGACAAAAGACAACATCTTTTCGAAGTGGATTCATTGAGTGAAGTGAAGAGCGATACTGAACTTTTTAAAAGTCCTTCGCCGCTGACCGTGGATCATTCTTTAAGTGACTACAAGCGCGGATTCTCAATCATTAGGAAATTTCGAGATAGAGCGGCCTCATTAAACACTGACGTTTCAGACTCTGAAGTTGGATCACCAATTCATTTGAGCGACTTAAAAGGAAGGAGCTTGAGGACGTTAGGAATGGAGGAGAAATGTGCAGACGTCGCTGACCAAACGGAATATTTAAGGTTATTTTTTAAATATTACTCAGTTTTAGTGTAGTCACTAGTCATAACTGATTGTAGTGAAGCTGTACGACAGCCACTTTATGTTATTATTACGGAAATGTGCGTAGGAACGCAATATTTAGATCATTTTTTATTTGTATGTTTAGCAACGAGGAAAAAGAAGTTAGTTTCTATATAGAAGAAACAGAGGATTTAGCGATGATGGCCAATATGGGCTTACCCACATCATTCGGGAGGACTTTACCCGGAAAAAACGAGTCAAGCAACGCACCCATTGGAAAACCGAGGTTCGTTTAATAATTTTTAATATCCCTCCACACACTCCTACAGATACAGAGTATTTTGAAGTTGGCCTAATTTTTTCTACGGAGTTTCTAGGACTTCCTTGGAAAGTATTAAAAGAAAGAAATAAAAAAAACTTCCTTGGAAGGAAGTTTTTTAGGTTCAGTCTATTCCTCGCAGATTTTGGCTATTGAAAAATAGTGACAATTTCATGTAATATTACCGATAACACTTCAGATCTGTAAGATTGCCATAGGTGACACTAATAGTCAATTTTGGCTCAGGGAACATTCAAAATACCCAAACACCCCACTTGAATTAATTCAATATGCAAAAACTACCACCGTCGAGCCAAAACACTAATTCCCGGTATTCCATTCATGGTGGCATTTACGCTACTTTACTACACATTCCTTCGAAACCGGTATTCATGCGCATCTAAATCGGGCAAATTCCTCGGGCAACCCCGCTTCCTATTGGCCGAAGTCGGATTCCAGGCATTCCGACGAAGGTCCTGCATCGGGGCGTTTCCCATTCTTCGGGTTTCCCGGTCTGCCATCGATTGAACGAAAATTGGGGGATTTTGCGGGGATTTTCTTCAGGTTTTAGATGGGTTTCGGTTAGAGGCACATATTTAAGGTGTCATAGAGTAAATGCTCCAAAAGAGCCATATGAAAACCTTAAATTGACAAAATTTCGAAAACTAAACACTTTTGGAATGGACAACTTTACCCAAACTTGCTCTTATTTTTAATACTGAATAAGATGAAATTGTGAAAAATTGGGGGCTTCCATTTGGGAAAATTAATTTTGGGCAGTTTTCTCAACTTTATTTTTTTATCGGCAACACTATTCATAGTGAACAAAATGTTGTCGAAATTCCAATAAAGTAAGTCCTGCAACAACAAGAAATGCGATTTAAATTAAGAATCACGTATTCCCTTATAGGAAAAATTAATAGTTATCCGAGTGGCTGCATCTGGCATTTTTTACATAAAATTTCAAATATATCAAAAACGGTTAGACTTAATTATAGGATATTATACATGAAATATATTTATAATTTAGAGTAGAATCCAAAAATGTGCAAGTTTAGGTTGATTTTCGCAATTGGGACACCCGTAAATTACAACATAATTTTAAAATATCACTGTATTTTTTGAATAACTGATGGTTTTGGTGGTGGCACTTTTAGCAAAATCAGAGGAACCCAACACGTGAAGGCTGCCTTAAACTTATTGGGTGTGGAGTTTAATGCGGAGGAGCTAGACAAAACCTTGTCCGGTAAAGTCGAGTATAAGATGAAGCATATTCGCCATCAAAATAAACGACTTCAGTTCACCAACACGAGGAAACACATTCGATTTGATGAAGATACTTTCGCTCCCTGCCTGGGATGTTCGGATAATTTAGCACAAGAGCAGGTAGGAAATCTGGTTTGAAAAAAATGTGGAATCGTAGTAGTTGCAAAACGTAAGGGAGAAATTCCATTTTCGACGGACACAATGCGCCAAACCTGACCGACTTTCAATCAACGCTTTTCCTGTTAATTTTAATATTTTCACACATTTTAGATGAGTGGATCAAAGAGCAGTGAAGACCTTAAGGATGGAGAAGTTGATTCGTTTGATAAATATGAAGATCAGCAAACGGGGACTTCTGCAGGTGCAGAGTTGACAGAACAGAAAGACTATATTTTTGAAGATTACAAACAGGAAAAATCTAAATCAGGAAAACGCAGGAAGCGAAAGTCCAAAATCAAGTATCCACCAGAATTGGAAGCAAATAAAAAATTGAGAAAATTCTGGCCGCGGAGATATTCGCTCTTTAGAAAGTTTGACGATGGGATTAAATTAGACGAAGGTCTGAAACATAACTGTGATTAAGTCGTACAAGTTTCAAATTTGATGCTGTTTCTTTATAGAGAGCTGGTACTCAGTTACGCCTGAACTTGTGGCAAAACATGCCGCAGAGAAATGTGCGTGCGACGTCATAGTAGATGCCTTTTGTGGAGCGGGAGGCAATTCCATTCAGTTTGCTTTAACTTGTAGCCGAGGTACGCGTATAAATTTGAAACTATTGTCCATCGAAGTTAACTCTTCTTCATATTTTTCAGTGATAGCCGTTGATGTAGATCCGAAAAAAATAGAGTTGGCAAAGAATAACGCTGAAGTATACGGTGTTTCGGATAAAATCGACTTTATTATTGGCGACTTCTTTTCTCTAGCCGATACATTAAAGGCGGACGCAGTATTTTTAAGTCCTCCCTGGGGCGGTATAGCGTATGCGAAGCAGGCAGTTTACGATTTGGAAAGTATGTTGCAACCGGTCGGATTTTCCAGTTTGTACGCCGCGGCAGCGAAAATATCGAAAAATATAATTGCGTTTTTGCCAAGAAACAGCAATACTGCTACGGTGAGTACCTATTTACTACGGGTTTTCACTGCTTCAGTACTAATTCCAAACATTATTTAGCTCATTAAGATGGCCGGACCAGGAGGCAAAGTGGAAATAGAACAAGATTTCATAAATAACAAGCAAATTTCCATAACAGCGTACTTCAATGATCTAATAAGGGACTCGTGAATAAGCAATATTCTTCCTATAGCCGTAGGTTAGTAGCTAAGTTAAAATACTTTATTTTTAATACTGTGTTACTGTTCCGTTCAGTTTTAATGAAAATATGTATCGGCTTTCGCCTTTAATAATTTTTTTTATATTAAAGTACTGAAGGAAAATTTTGCTACGCATCGTTTATTTTCCGAAATATGGAACATTATTGAAACGTAAAAATACACAGATACCTTGAAACACATGGTTGCCGAATTTCTTATCTAGTTTTTTGCAAATATCTCAGTTGTTCATAGGAATGATTGTTTTTGGCTATTTTTCCTGTACTCCCTAAGCGCTCCTAGACAACGCTCCAGAGGAATGACGCAAATTTTTCGCATCACCCTGTATAATTATCAAACCAGATCCCATATTCAGAGGGGTTCTGTGCCAAATGTCTGATCTCTGTCTTGTTCATAGATTACAGAGTACCTCTGTGATCTGTGGTCTTGTTCGGTAAAGTGGCAATTGAGGGTGAATTGAGGTTATGGCATCGAAGATATTTCCCAAACAAAATGTTTCTGTATTAAATTAATGTTTGTCATCGTTCGTATACTATACTTTACTTAGTAAAGCTGACTAAAACTCTGATCTGTGGGTAAAATCATGATGTATCAAATTTCTCTCTATGCCATACCTACCATTATATTTCTTGTTGCGGTACGAAAATATCGCGAACGAAAATGGGGTAAGTGCCAGAATACAGTGAAACTGAATGGAAAAGTGGCCCTAGTGACGGGGGCAAACAGTGGGATTGGATATGAAATAGCCAAAGAATTGGCAGCAAGGGGGGCCCACGTAATACTCGCATGCAGGAATTTAGAAAAGGCGATTGCAGCTGCAGCCGAAATTAGAAAGTCATTGCAAAATAACCCGGTGCTGGTAAGTAAATAACAGATCATGTGAACGAAATATATTTCTATTTCAACCATAAATCACTAGTATTGTAAGTAGCGGGGTGGCGGACAAAAAAAACCTACAGGCTAGACTACAATCACATTAATGCTTAATCTGTTTCAGGAGCCTTTGGAGTTAGATCTTAGCTCGTTGCGATCGGTGCAGTCGTTTGCAAAAATCGTCAATGAATACGAGTTCATACACATTCTGGTCAACAATGCTGGAGTAGCATATCCAAGAAATCAAAGATTGCAAAGCATTGATGGCTTCGAAATGCATTTTGCGGTTAATCATTTAGGGCACTTTTACTTGACAACGTTACTCGAAAAAGTGCTGGTTCGATCGAGAGGTACGTTTTATATTATTTAAGTAGTAGGTATCGACTTTCGCGATTGTAGGACGAATTTTGGAAAAATGAGCCCCCTGTGCAGGTGCAAATGCAAATTTTCAATATCTCTTCTTAAAAAAACACTATTAAAATTTGTCCATGCTAATCTGTTCCCTAATGAGTTTTTGGTACAAATTAAATACAGTTATTTTTGGAATAATAAACGTTTCCAGTCATTCTAAAAGCTCCCACTAATAAAAATGTTGTTAGTAGTCGTTGGCTTGCACTAATTATATTAAATTAAATTAATTATTTTTATGCACCTTTTTCCAATTTCAGCCAGAATAATCGTCGTTGCTTCTTCTTTGCACGAAAAAGGACGGTTAGACCTGAAGGCTATTCGGAATTTGGAATTTGAGGAAGGTGAAAACTTATATGCTAATTCTAAACTGGCCAATGTGTATTTCGCACAGGAACTTGCAAGGAGATTCAAGAAGAGTAAGTTTATTTTACTACTTTTTAGTAAAATTGTGAAAAGAAACTTGTGTTAAAAATTATTAGGCGCTCAACTAGTCGATGAGCCTTAGACTTGAACAATTATCAGACATATTGATGTAAACGCTCGGATGCATTGTCATTTATTTTGAAGAATAATTATTCTTAATGTATGAAATCATAAATTATTTCTTCTATTACAAGTGTCCGGGAGTTTAGGAAAATCCAATACATGTTCCCAGTCTTCATAGTTCATAGCTAAGTACCATTTAATACAAACATTAACTTTATAGGTATGAACGTGCACGCTGTTTGCCCTGGGTGGGTATACACAAATCTTTTTAGACATTCCTTTAAATGGTATCATTGCATTTTGATGGTTCCTGTGGCATTCTTATATATGAGAACTGCTAAACAGGTACAACCCCATTGCAAATAGCATTCACTCGTTTCTTAAACGATTTTTTTAGGGCTCAGAAACAGCAATATATTGTGCTACAGAACCGTCTCTTGATGAAGAAACCGGGCTTATGTACAAAGATTGCAAGAAATACAACAGCAAAACAATATTTTATGATAAAATAGCCACTCAACTTTGGGATGAATCACAAGATATGGTGAACAGTTGTATTAACCAGGATTAATGACTTAGTTCTCCATTAAGCGATACCAAAGTTTTGTTTTTATTAGTGTTTTTAAACGTTTTAATTTGTTATTGAAAATTGAATTGAGTAAGAGAGGCAAAGGGGGAGGTCTATTGAAAACTACAAAAAGACCAGCACAAACAAATTATTAAGACTTGGAGTAGGTAACAGATATATGAAATCGCCAAGTTATTTATTTACCAAGATCGTATAGCGTACTTTTTCGTTCGAACAAAGAGTATGTTTTTGAGAGTTTGTTATAAGATTTCTAGAAAAATAAATGTTGTAGTTATTTTTTGCTTTAAGGATTATGGGATAGTGAGCTGGGCGAGGTCGATCTCGGATAACGCGAATCATAACTTGATTGTGCTTTAAGGCAGGAAAACGCGTTTGCACTTATTTTTTTCAGGAAAAATTACCTGCCATAAGTCCTTAAAATATTACCACCTTGTTATGACGCGCTCTGTATATAAGCAAAATCCTCGTTTCTCTGCTGAGTTGCCAAACATACTGTTTCCAATAACGTCATTGACGTTACTCGCATGAAGTTTCTGATTGGTGATTGGTGCTCCTGATAGTACTGTAGTAGGTGCCCGACCTGACAGATGACAGTTGCAGTTGCGAGCTGGCTTAGCTGGAAGTACGTTGTTCGTGTAGCGCGATTTGGCAGTGGTTTGTTTTTGTGGCCGTGATTGTGATATTTTCGTGTTTCCTCTGTGATAAAGATCTACAGAAAATATCAAAATGGCAAGCAGACTGGCTGGGCAGACTATAAACGATCGATTTTTGGCCGCTAGACACAGTCTAGCGGGTCAAGGACTGGCTAAAGCCGTCTGCAAAGCAACCACTGAAGAGCTGATCGGACCGAAAAAGAAACATTTAGACTGTAAGTAGTGCATTGATTTATTCACAAAATATTATTATCTGATTAGGGAGATATGGAGCCTGCCAATTTGTATAGCAAATTGATATTTTGCGACAGCAAATGACGTTTAAAACGATTAAAGATAAAACAATAGACAAGTCGGTCTCCTAAACCGGTTTTGAAAACGATTCTTTACCAAATTATGGCCTACGTAGACGGCTAAAACCGATAATAGAGCATTATTTCTGGTCCACCTGTCCCTTAACTTTAATTATATGCTTGAGGCGACCTGTTTGGTTTCAACTGCTGCCATACGTACACATTCACTGAACCGCAGCAAACAGTCGAGTTATGTAGGCAGTAGTTAAATAATACATAATTGAGCTTTAGATTGATTATTTATTTTATTTAAAAACGTGGCTGAACTTTTTCATAGCCCAAAAATCGCTTTGGTGTTGATCAAGATCGAGGTCAGATCGCTTTTAAAGTAGCTACTTAAGTACATGATGTTTGTGGTTTCTAACTTGGAAGCATGATCTGATTTTCTATGTTGTTTACCAATTCAAATGCAGTTATTACTGCACTTGTCAACATCTGTGAAGGCCAAACATCAATTATTTTAAATAATAATCAAACTCAAGAGGTTCTGTAAATAGTAATCAGGAATGTTTGTGGTATCAGTCAGTGCCGCTGGTTAGGGGGCACAAAGCAGGACACTTTAAAGAGATTGCCATCTTTAAAATATTGGAATCTTCAGTTAAAATCAGTCGTAATAAAACCAGCATGATTTGGATTTAAACTATGTACGCTAATTATTATGAGTTTTTAATTTGAATCTTGTTTTACTCGTAACTATTCAATTTTCATAATTTGTATTAAAATCAGAGCAATAAAAATCGTAGCAAGTTTTGTAGGAAGGACGTCAAATTTGGAGCAAGGAAAATATTTTATCAGAATTGTTTCAAAAATCGAAATTGACGGTCCTGAAATTCTGTTATTTTTCAGATTTTCATGTAGAACTTTTCCTTGAAGTTTTTGCGCATCATTTCATGCCCAATCAAATAAGTAATAAAATAAATGCAAAAAGCACATTTTGTCAACATTGCCACTCCACTGCGGTTTTCTAAAACAATCAATTTTCTATTAAGTAGTAAGAATCGCAACTCATTGTTTATTTTACAAAAAAAATCAAAATTTGTGTTAAACTAACACTCACTGACTGCAACTGACAAACGAAAATAATCCAACTGTGAAGAAGATCCATATCCGTAAAAAAAGATAAAAAATATGCTGAAGGTATTATTTTTGCGCTTTTTTCGTACGAAAAATGTATACATTTTAACGATTTTTCAGAACTAATTAAGTATCTGGGGATATCCAATTGCTAATATCGCATACTATTTTATCTAATCTCGTGTGACGCCTACAAAATGAAACAAAAAGGAGGCGTATTGTGTGGTATTATACTTGGTGTCACAGTTATCTTGCTCAGAACAAGCTTTCACTGCTTTTATCAGCATTGACAGGCAAACCAGACTCCCATTCGCTTTTTATCACGCTGAATTGATTTATTACTGCAACAAAAACATTAATTGGATCAGATTCCTGGAACTTTTAATAGGATGGGTAATTGTAAATATGGTCCTAGTTTATATTACTATTGGAAAATGTTCAAAATCCATTGTTTAAAGTACCTATTTTATAAATAAAAATATTAGTCAAGTTTTATACATTTTAACACTAAAGACTGGAGAGAGAGGACTTTTCTAATTCACAGCTTAAGTATTTGAATATAATTCAAGATTTGCTCGGGCGCCTGCCTATTTAATATTCACATGACCCAGATATCCGCTGGTTTCGCATAATCGCCAAATAAAAATGATTAAACACATTTTGCGCATATTTGGGACTATATTTTAATAACATTTTTAGGCCTTATTTGTCCCTACTTATGCGCTTGTTAGGCAAATAGCTGTGACATAAATGGCAGGAAACAAATCGGCATTTTGCAATATCTGCTAGAATATTCATTTACTTAAGTACTTAGTTACTAGAATATACATTAAATTTCGAGCTATCGCTTTCTTCCTTCTGCTGCGTTTCAATCAATCTTCATCTCGGACTTAACATTTGTTTGATTATTTGGTGAATTAAAAAACTTATTTAGTGAACTGCAAGGTCTAAACGCAAGGAAATCTGGATAAGAAATTCTTGCGTGAAAAATGTCTTATTTTTCAGGTCTTTGAGCGTGTTGTATGTGTCAATGACTTATGTCTGTACCCTGTTAAAAAGTTTCAACTTAGTAATTCTGCATTGTTCAGGTGGAGTTAAAAAATATTTGAATAATTTGTTCTTCATGAGCTAACAAACTCACAACTGATTAGGTAAGATTCTTTTGGCAACGTATAAATTCGTAAGACACGTTTGTTTAAACGGCTCCACATTTTTCCCATCGCTTCGTGTTCTAGTTTCCAAGGCCTATAATGAGAAGGATATAAAAGCAAAGGTGCACTTTTAGTGTTATGCAAGCGATTGCAACCGCCTCGACCGGCAACACACATTTCATACGATTGTTCTTCCTTTCCTTGTTACACAATTGAATCGTAAAGGAAAGTGATTGTAATGGTTTGTTTTCCCTTTTCCTGCTGGCGCTTAGTTTGCGATCGCATTTCGCTGCTCTAATTTCAATTCCTTTTTATACACCTGGTTCGGATCATTTCCTATTATCTTAACCAGCAAACGAATGTTTTCAGAATCTCAATCATTATGAACAAAGCAACTTTGCCACAATTCGTCTGACCTTTTAATAACCAATCTTATGAGTGCAAGGTATAAAATGTTTGGAACGAGGTCGACTCGTTAAATGGCCCGTTTAATTTTCTCGTTTCAATTTGGAATAATGCGGTCAAAACACTGAAGTATATGGCAAGCAAATTCAGTATGTATTTTATTCTTAAATCAGGTATTTATAGGTCGGTCGACTTAATTATATACAAATTGTTGGATCGTGTATGTTAAGGAATTTCCATATCGTTTGCCAAAAGGTATTCTGGTTATAGAAGTAGAAATTGAATTAAAGAATCTACACTTTAAGGGCAACCAGACATTAATTTCATCACAGGTTTCTTGTACCCAATTTGTTTGTGTACAAGGTTTTTCCGGCTGTTTTAGCACTCCACTGTACGGTCTCTTTGATAAATTGTTGAAATAAGTTTTATATCTTTTAAATCAAAACTATTTTTTGTAATCAAACGCCCTTTAAGTATATTACATAGTTAAAAAATGTGATATGTTTTCATACATACATACAATACATTTTTTATTCGTCCATTTTCAAAACATGAGCTCTCAAAGATTAAAAAGTTCATTAATGTGCTTTAAAACATCGACAGTCGTGATCAAGAACTCAAAACATCATCAAAGCGTTGTTCCAACGCAAAATCACTTGTTAATGTTCCCCTACTCCCTAGAGTTTAGCGGCATATTGATACAACCCCCGGTATAGAGATTTGCCAAAAAGTACCAAAATTTTCCTTGGCATTAGTGTTGTATTCAATGTAGTTTTATAATAATAATGAACAACAATAGTTTCTAATCTACAAGTATCAATTTGATGGAAAGTACAACTTACTTATGATAGATACTAGATGATAAATATTTATATTTAGGCCTACTGTAGTGAAAATGTAGGCCAAGCCTTGCATACCAAGTTTTATAGTAGGTAATAGGTGCGTAATGTGTTTTTATCAATATCGTATGTGTAATATTTTTATGTTATTTTAATTGGTGACTAAATCAAAAGTAAATACAGTGTCTATGCAGATAGCACTTTTATCAGTTTACCAGAATTCTACGTTTCAGGGCAATTTTTTATATTATCCTTTCAAAACAATAATATAAGTAGATGCTTATAGTCTATGAGTGTTAACAATGTATATTCATAAATGATCATATACCTAACTCTTCTATGACCAGCCAAAACTTAGGTATTAACTTTGGGCACAAATGTTCGCACTCTAAATGAACGCCAAAGGGTGTGTCTTAGATTTTGCAAAAAATGTGCAAAAACGCACTTTTTTATTTGCAATACTAGAATTTGAAAAATAGTTGTAATGAAATGGTTAAAAAATACAATGGCGTACCATTTTTTTCTTCGTTTCTGACAAATTCGGTAGTGTGCAGGTACGCACGCCACTGGCAAAAATTAATAAAATTATTTTACTGCAAAATATGCGCCCTTGCTAGCTTTTGATCTCGTTTAAAAATTTCGTTTAAATATCTCCAAGCGCTTTGAAGACATTTTTAATTTTTCGTTCTTTTTAATTAAATTTTATCACCCTGTAAGCATTTTGGTGCTATCGTGTATACAGAGTGATTCACAACCTTATGGTCACAGAGCAGGGGCGTGTAGAGGACCTCAAAACAAATCGAGTTTCCATTTAAGTTTTTTCTCAGGCCCACGGTTAACGAGATTGATATTTCAAAAGCAAAAAAATTGGTATTTTCTCCTTAACTCCTACAGTTTACGAGCTATTTTGCTCATTTTTTTACGTAGGCTAATGTTAAGACCCTTTACCCGTAGGTAAGGCGACTGGTTGTGCAAATCTACAGGGTGTTTTTTTTTATAGAGACATACCTCCTTTTACCCCCAGAACTTTTTTGTGGTGCGCCACGGACACATTTTTGCATTTGTTGTTGAATTTAAGAATTTTCTGATCTCTTGCAGTTTTTTCGTATCTGTCTTCGTTTTCGAATTATTTGCACAAATATAAGTCCATGTAGGGTTTCTGGGTGATTTTATATGAATTTTTGTACACATTTTTTTGTGTCTTTTTGCTCACATTTTTCTGGGATTTTCAAGTTAAAATAGGGATAGCTGACGAGTTAACTTTAAAATTTATTTTAATTTACTTTTAATTTAATTTACAATAATTGAGGTTGATTAATACACAATTGATTGAAAAATACAGAAAAATGGAACGAATATTTCAATTTATTACGAAATTTCTTTCCTTCACAAA